GCTTGACCTCCCAGGGCCTTCCCAGGTACCTCCTACCCCAGGAGGACAGAGTCATGCTTGGATGTCCAAGCGTACTCCAAGAAAGACTCAGAGTGCACAGTAGAGAAACTGAGCCTTGGGCTGCGAATGTATTGTCTGTCTGAGACCCAGGGAAAGACCTCAGGACTGCCCCAGCTTCTCTTCCTCCATACTCCACTTCCGTCTTGAGATGGAGTGACTCAGCAGGCTCTCCCCTCTGGCCACGGCCACCCTGGGTCGCTGTCCTTCCCCAGCCCTTGTTGTCAGCCTGGTTTCAGGGGCCCAGGTGGATCCCTGGCCCTGTGGGTGGTGGACAAAGGGTCTACCGCAGGAGATGCCAGGGGTGAGGACGAAGGACTTGCGGGTCCTGACAACTGTTACCCCTCTCTGGAACTCCCCTTGGCATGGAGATCCTAGGACCCGAGGCCCAGAGTCAGGAGGACTCCAGAGACCATTTAGTCCAGATCTCCATTTTACAGGCGAGTATCCTGAGCCAGGGGTGAAGCAGCTTGGCTGAGGTCACACAGGGCATGAAGGGAGACATGAAGGCCACTGGTGGGCAGGCCTTTCTGGGCTGTAGTTGGGGAGGGCTGATGGCGTGAGCCAGACCAGCAGCAAGAGCAAGGGGGGGGGGGTCCACAGCTGCTGCTGGCTGTGCCCACTCCCGCCCCATATGACCCTTGCTTGTGGGATTCCCATCCCAGCCAGCACAGATGGGGAGGAGCCAAAGTGGAGTCACAGGAAGAGGGGAGCAGCAGATGAGGGAGGGAAGTGGGAGTGGATGACAAGAAGAAGCTGGGAACATGTGGGACGGTGTGTGGTGCCTGGGGTCCTCTGCCAGGGGCAGCACATCTGTGGGGTGACGGCAGGGGGACCCATTCAGCGGAGGGAGTGGAACTGGCGCCAGCCCTGCCTGCCCCACTGACCTACAGAGCCAGATGGAGAGAGAGCATACAGGAACACCCAGAGTTTGGTCCTGGCTTGTGACTTCACTGCCAGGGAGGAGACCCTCTGCCCGTGAGGATGGTGTGTGCTATGCATTTGAGACACTGAACGTTTCAGTGACTTGCCCAGGGTAACAGCCAGTATGGGAAAGAAGGGAGGCTTACACCAAGGTCTTCGTCTCCGGGCCGGCCCTCTGTCCCCAGCACCACACTCCTCTCAAGCCTCCAGTAGCATCTCGCAACTTCAGTCCCATATTAAGCCCATTTCCATCCACACCCAAATGGTGTGAACTAGAAAGTTACCTTCCAGAGTCAGAACTCAGTCCTAGCCCTGCTGATGCAGCTGCAGAGAATGAGCTGGGATTCCACCTCCTGTCCTTGTCCAGATCTGCATCTGAGAAGCCCCTTTGCTGCCCCCAGGCATCCCTTCAGCATGGCCGGAGAAGAGAGAGCTCCAGGGAGCCTTACAGAGAAGGAAACTGAGGCCCAGGCCATCTCCAAGGTCACACTCAGGGACATCTGAAGGACATGGGGACCTTGAGCCTGGAGAAGGTCAGGCTTGTCTGAGGAAAGGGCTTAATAAAGTGCTAGTTGTAACCTGGGGATGGCTCAGACATCCACTGAGCCATGCTAAGAGAGAGGCCACTGATGGTGCTGGTGGAGGGTGGGGCTGCCAAGTGCGAGAGAAAGGGGAAGGGCCTGGAAGGAGGGGATTGGGTAGTTCCAGCCAGGAGAGACGGCATCCGGAGATTGGCCAAGAAGTCAGCGACTGAATGGTTTTAAATGAGAACCACAAGGACTGAGGAGGAAACAGGGAAGCTGCCCCCTGTTCCACCTCCTGTCCACACCTGGATTTGTAGGGAGCCACCCAAGCTCAGCAGGCCAAGACGTTCGGTCACACTTAGACCATCACACTTAGTACTGGAAGTGACTTGGGATTTACTTTCAGCTTTGTTCATGCAAGGATTCAGCACACATTTATTAAGCACCTACTGTGTATCAGACATTGTGGTGGGTGATGAGGAATGAGAAACTTCCTACCCACAAGGAGCTTACTTACATTGAGGGGTCAGTTGTTTTTCAGTCAGGTCAATCTTTGTGACCCCATTTGGGGTTTTCTTGGCAAGGTACTGGAGTGGTTTGCCATTTCCTTTTCCAGCTCATTTTACAGAGGAGGAAACTGAGGCAAACTGTGTGCCCAGGGTCACACAGCTCATAAGTGTCTGAGGTCAGATTTGAACTCAGGTCTTCCTGACTCCAGGCCCAGTGCTCTGGCCACTGTGGCACCCAGCTACATCCAAACTGAGTCTTGAAGGATGCTGGGAACTCTAAGAGATCAGAATGAAGAAATGGGGGACAGCCCAGACAAAGGCACAGGAGATGAAATGTTAAATTTGGGGAGGGGGATGAATGTGAAGTGGAAGAGAGCACATGCATTGTCCCCCACAAGAGAGTGAGACTGTTCCCCTGCAGGGTAGCTGGCCTATCCAGGCATGTGAGCCCCTGACACGAGTCACATTCAAGCAATCCTCAAAAGATTCTTAAAGGGACTGGTCATATTTAGCCTGGAGAAAAGATGATTTAGGAGCTACTTGACATCTGTCTTCAAGTCTGTGAAGGGCTATTCTGTGAAAGGGATAAGACATGTTCTGCTTGACTTCTCTGGGCAGAAGCGTGAGTAGTGGGCAAAATTCGCAGAAGCAGATTTCAGGGAAAACTTCACCAATAATGATAGCTATGGGAAAGTGGGATGGGCTCTCAGCAGATGGTGGGTGGGTTTCCCCACATTGAAGGTCTTCAAGCTGAGTGTGTGTAACTGGAAAAGATGGACTCTCGGAATTGGAGGGGCCCAGAGAAATCCTCACCCAAGATCCTCCCTCTTCAGTCTCCCTGGCCAGCCTTTGCTTGCAGACCTCCAGTGAAGGTGAACGCATTCTTTCTTGGGGCACCCCGTTTTACCTGAGGTCACCTCTGACTGTTAGGACGCTTTCCCTGCAGAACACCAGAATGTGCCTCGCTAAGACATCTGTCCCCTTGGGCAGGTGACAGTGGAGAACTGGCCACCAGCCAGGTGGTGGAGAGGCAGGAAGAGGCAACATTCTGAGTACTGCTGGCCGCCCCACGCAGGAAAGAACAGTAGGGTCGTGTCTCTGTGACCAGGAGCAGTCAAGATGGGATGGATGGTGCCCACTGAGGATCCCAAGTGCCCCTGAGCAGACTCTGGTTCTAATGTGTCTAGTTTCTTGAAATATATGTAGACATTTTTATGGTTGAGTTTTTCCAGTAAGGCCAATGATTAAGGGTCTCTCTCCTTGACCAAATGTTTCCCAAGTCAGTTGTTTTTTTATAGGAAATACCTTACATTTTCTGATTTTTTTTTCAGTTTTTTCAAAAACTTTTGTTGTATTTTTAGTGGTCTCATGGATTCAGTTGTCTGACCCAGTCTGTCAAGGAGTCCATTACTTGAGTAAGGTTTTATACCTCCTGTGTTCAGCTATTTCTTATCCTTCCAATTTTCTCTAGAGCTGTCACTTAACATTTATATGATCATTTTTCAACTCTTGTTTCTTACAGGAATCCCAGTGAAGTTTGTGGCAATCTGTAAATGTGAGGCTTTATACATAACATGGAGTTATTTTCATTTTCTGGATATACTGCTTGAGCATCCTTGGCTCTGTAATATTTCTTAATCATCTTTTTCTTCTGTTTATTCATTTTCCCAGCCTTATTTACTGAATTGGAACTTTGTGCCAGGGACCAGACTCTGTGCACTTCTGGAAAGAACCGTCAGTCAGGCCTTCTTTGATACTAATCTGCAATTTCTGGATTCTAGGTAATAGAAGTCAGATGTGTTTTACAAACACCTCAGCAGTAGCTAGTGAAAACACTACACTGGGATGGTCAATATAGGATTGTCTCCACTAGGATGATTTATGTGGAGAGGTCTAATCCATCCTGGACCTTGTTGCCCTCCTAGTCGGAGCTCCACAAGCTTTCGAAGTTGCTAGGGGTCAGAATAACATGGATGTCCTTGGCTACACTCTTCCCTGGGCTCCCATCTCTCTGCCCATAACTTTAGGCCCTAGACCCCTGGCCTCACCCCTTGTCCATGCCCTGGGAAGCCTTGATGTATGGAACTCCCCGGTCAGGCTACTCTGTCTGGAACCCCTTCCCTAAGGCCCAAAGGCTTCCCAGGCTGTCTTTCTGTGAAGACCTAAATTGTCGAAAGGTACTTACAGGTTCTCCTTGGACTTCATCATCCCTCAGGTTTTTGTTGTCGTTGTTTTAAATCACTGCTACAGTAGTTGTGGGAGAGCTGGACTACTCCACCTCGGTTTTGCCCATTGGAATCCCTGGCTCCCTTCAATAAGGCTGAAAGGTCAAACCCTGCACAAAGTAACTGCAGAACCTCAGCCCCTTTCCTCCGATTGCGAATGCTCTTCCATCCTCCATCACTGAAATTATATTCTATTTACTATTCTGTGTCCATGTTGTCTTTTTCCAATAGAATGTAAACTGCTTGAACGGACGATTTCATTTTTGTCCTTGTAGGCACTTAAGCATCTGTTGAATTGAATTAATTCTCAAAGGCAGATATGCCTGCATGGAAAGTAAGAGTGACCTCAGTGACCCACCCAGCCCACAACATGCTCCCATGAAGTACTCTGATTGAACTTATTGCTTATCTTATGGCTAGGGTTGAACTCAAAATTTTGAGTTTTGGCAGCTAGGTGGCGCCATAGTGCACAGAGCACCAGGCCTGGAGTCAGCAAGACTCACCTTCCTGAGTTCAAATGTGGCCTCAGACACTGACTAGCTGTGTGACCCTGGACAAGTCACTTCACCCTGTTTGCCTCAGTTTCCTCATCTGTAAAATAGTTGGAGAAGGAAATGGCAAAAAAATTGCCAAGAAAACCCCAAATATGGTCGCAAAGGGTTGGACACAACTGAACAACAAATATTTTTAAAACCATGTAAAAACAAATGTGTAATTCATCTAATTAGCACAGTCATGGCAACTTCAAATAAACTTTAAAATGTTTTTCATGTGTTTATTACAAAAATTACAATCTTAAAAATGTTTCAAGTAAGAAACAGCTTTACAATAAATTTCTTCCTGATGCTAGAGCACCTCTCTGAATTCACCAGGAGATGATTTAGAATACTGCAAACATCAGAAGAGGCAGTGCAATGTAGAGGACACAGTGCTGGACTTGGGAGGCTGGAAGACCTGGGTTATATGCTGACACTGACCACCTGTGTGTCCAGGGGCCTGCCCTTAGCTTCTCTGCACCTCAGGTCACCATGTGAGATGATGTGAGAAGCGGGTTGCAATCTGCATCCATGGGGTGAGTACCCATACCGATGAAAGTCACAAGTCCTTGCAAACAGACTATTGGCTCGTTGAGAACTGGGTTCATTCAGTCTTGTGCTGGAAGAGACCACAGGGTCCGTCCAGTCCAGCTGATTCCTGAACAGGAATCCCCTCTATGATATCTGTGACAAGCCATGTCCAGGGAGTGGGCACCCTCCAGCTGACAGGCACCCTGCTGCCCTCTTGGCCAGCTCCCATAACAAGCCAAAATAATTTCTTCAGCTTCCGCCCAGTGCTCCATTCCAAGCTCAGTGGTTCACTGCCTTCTCCATGAAACCTAACCCTCACCTCCCTATTCACATGGATGCTGTCCTCCTCCAAGTCCTCGACATGCCTTTAGCTGGGCTTCGGCCCCACGGAAAAGTCAGTTCCTCGAGGGCGGCGCCTGTTTCGTTGTCTTTTTATCCCCAGTTTCCGGCAGATTGTCCTGCACAAAGTGGGCACTTAATGTTTGCTGAACTCAATGGATCTAAGTGACCAGCACTCACAAGCCACTTGTATGGTAAATCCCAAAAAGGCTCTCCCCTGTTCCCCATTTTGAAAATCCAGACATTTCCCTTTTCCAGTTGTTCTCCCGAAGTTTTCCAGAGACCAGCACCCCTGCCGCAGCTTGTCTGGGCTGCGTGACTTGAACGCACTGGGGAGGCCAATGGCCTTGTTTCCATTTCCGTATTCATCTTGGGTTTCAACCACTAGTCCAAAGGTACTTTTTGACAGAGAAAGCAGAAGCACATCTGGAGCCCCTCTGCCTTCCCTCTGCTGCCCATCATCCTTGAGCCAGCCTTGGATGGCAGTGGCCACATAGCCCTGCTCTGATCCTCCTCTTGTTCCTAACATAGCTCAAAGCACACAGAGTATGGCCAGCCCTTGCTTGCTACCCCTCGGGCTGAGCTGCTGTGATCTGGAGCCGTCCTCGGCCTGCCCTAAGCCCTTCTGTCTTCATCCCCCATTACAAGAGGATGGAGTATGGCCAGCCCTTGCTTGCCACCCCTCGGGCTGCGCTGCTGTGATCTGGAGCCGTCCTTGGCCTGCCCTAAGCCCTTCTGCCTTCATCCCCCATTACAAGAGGACGGTGGGTGGAGTGCAGGATGGGGGGCCGGAGGGAGACTTCTGAGTTTGTCTCCTCATTTGTAAAATGGTTTCCCGAAGGTCCCTACCAGCGCGGAATCACATCATCGATGGAAAGATCCAATTCTCAATCCAAGATTGTCCCGAAGTCCCCAGTGACTTCCCCACCTCCGGAACCCTGGCATCTGGGGGCTGTGCCTCCGGGGAGGAGCTTTCCTGGCTTCCCACAAGCCTGAGGTTTCTCTATGAGAGGCGACATCACTCTTCACCTTTTCACAGTCAAGTACAATGAGGTTTCTATGAAGTCAACATCTTGTAAAATCGGCAACATGGAGCTGAGTGAAGAGATGAGGTAGGTAGACTATGAGTGGGTCCAGTTGTGGGGCACCTGGGAGCAGGTGCTTCTCCTGGGGAGGAGCAGCAGGAGACTGGGCCAGACACTGCCAGGAGAAGAGCTGGGTCCAGGGTGTTTCTAGACAGTCAGTGAGCACAACAGACAGCAGCTCTATGCTCATTACCGGAATGCTCTCACTTGGGACATTTCCAGTTACCTTTTCATCACTGCTGTGAAGGAGACCTGGGAGGGAGAGAAAACACCCCGGATCCATGGTCAAGGGCTCTACAAATCTCCCAGCTGAGGGTGTTTCTTACCCTCCCCCCTTGCCCAGACCTCTCCAGCTCTGCCACTGTCTTCATGTTATCCCAGGTGGGGCCAAAGCCCTCACCTCACACAGTACAGACTGCAGGAAGATAAAGATGTAGATTCTGGAATACCCAAGAAAGGCCTCGGGAAATACAAACTGAAATTCAGCTGGGAGGCATTATATTCCCTGGGGAGAAGGAAGCCGATGCCAGCTAAGCTCCCCCAGGAGCCGAAAGGCCATGTCTGTACCAGACTGGAGCCTGTGAGCCCAGACACAAAGACTGGACCATATTCTTTTCTGTGCCCTGACCAAGTTAGGTGGCCAGCAAGGACAGTAGCTTCCACACTGCTGGGGATCACTATTTAGGAGGCCTCATGTTACAGCATTGTGGCCCATGATAATGAATGGTCTGATGACAGCAATTTTCTGCCTCGCCAGGTGACCTGGCAGTCAGCAATTTTCTGCCTCGCCAGGTGACCTGGCAGTCAGCACCTCTCCCCTTCCAGACCGGGCCTGAGTGGCAGCATTCAGTCAGGAGACACTTGATTCCTGCACGTCTTTCTAAAGTCCGTGTCTCCTTGCAAACGTAACTATGGCTAAGCGCACCCAGGAACAGCGCATCATCTGCGTGGGAGGCCCCGTCTGCAGCCAGGTCACCCCGAGGCAGGGCTTTATGCTCCATCCATGCACCTAGCCCCACCCCTCCCCAGAACCCCCTTGTTAGGACACCTACCTCCCGCAGGAGCTGCCCCAGCTTCTCCTGGCTCCGGATAGGCCTCCTACAAAGGGATGGGGGGAGAGAGGTGTTGGTCAGGAGGTGGCCCCATGTCCCCCACAATGCAGATCCCTGCAGGAGTAATGTGCTGGGCTTGTAGGATGTGGGCCCAGGGGGAGCTTCATCATGGCGCTCAGCTGGGGCCGGGCCTGATACTCTAGTTCCTCAAAGACCCACTATGGACCCTCCCTCCCTGCTCTCACCACCCCATAGAGCTGGTCTTCTGTGGCCCCCAAATGAACCCCCAAGGCTCGGTCTGAACCTAAGGGTGACGGTCCTCAAAGAAGATCCCGCCTTTCACTGGACCCCAACTTGGAGCCTTTTCATTGGGGGCTGTCTGCCCTTCACTGGCAGGACCTGAGAACCAAGCCAGGGTCCCCTGACCCCATGAGGCAGGAGGAACAGAGAAGACCGAGGGGTGGGACCACTCAGGAGGCCAGGGAGGACAGGCTGTCTTGGGGCACACGTACCTGTCTATCTGGGTTGCTATGATAAGGGTGAAGTCTCCCTCTGTATCAGGCAGGTAGGTGGAGGGCACGATCTTGTAACTGCCCGACGAGAGGCGACACAGGTGGCTTACTTCCTGCGCGTAGCGGTGAGGCACGCAGCTGACCAAGGGCTTGAGCTGGAGCAGGGAAGAAGCACCCCGCGGCCAGCCGCTCTCTGGCATCTAAGGAGAGGCAGAGAGAAGGCAGCCACTTTAAGCTCCTCTGTGGGGAGGATGTCTCCTCTGTGACGCTGAGCTGGCTGTTCAGAAAACAGCCACCCCTCCTCTGGTCTGAAATGCTCCTGGGAGGTGGTTTTGGATAAACCTTGTCTGACTGAATCTTGGTAGGACCAAGGGAAGCCTTTGTCATTTCTAAGCTTTATCTGGGTTCCTTTCCCTGTGCTCACCAAACCCCTCTGGCCCCAAGGGCTGTCCTGGCCGCCGTGAGCTCCAACAGGAAGGCCCCTCCTGGTGGCAGAATCAGCCCTGCAAAGTGCTCAGGCTGTCGGGGAGGCCTGCAGGAGACAGGACGGACCTTCTGGGAAGAAGGGCAGAGGGCTTGAGGCAGAAGACTTCCAAATGTGCCTCACCAGCCCTGACCTGCATCCCCCCATCTGCCTGCCGGGTATCTCCTGCTGAATGGAGAAGCCACAGATCACTGAGACAGATCCACGGTCTGCAGTTCATGAGCATTAGGACCATTTACTATCGAGGCAATACACAGGTGTGAAAGCTCCAGTGAATGGTGGGATGGCACCAAGCCGGACAGGCCAAAGTTCTGGCAGAACTACTGTCATTTTCTGCATCTGTTCCTACCGTGGGCCCTTGTGATCTTGAGTTAGATTCAGAACCTCCGTAAAGGCCTTGTCTGCATCTTTTCCCTACTCTGTGCCCCCAAGCACACCGAGTGTCTGCTAGCAAGCGTCTACTTTGTCTCCAGCACCGGGGATGCGATAACAAAAAGAAGCTGCCCCTTCCTCGAGCAGGGGAAATGAGATGTGCATGTAACGTATGTACAAAGGTTTATGGAAAACAACGACAAGGTAGGGGCGTGGGGCACCAGGGGTGCAGGCCATCAGGAGAGGCCTCATGTCATGGGGATGTCCGAGGGATTCTATGAGGCAGAGGGAAGGGGGAACGGTGCTCCTGGCCTGGGGGACCTGGGCAAAGGCCAGGTAGGCAGGCTATAAATGTCCCTGGAGCCTCTCTGGGCTCCCGTCTCTCTGCTGACCATCATTATTGACCCATCCACTTTGAGACACTGAGGCCCAGAGAGGTGTGATTTGCCCAAGGTCAGTCAGGATTTGAATTCAGGTCTTCTGCTTGCCTCCAGATCTAGCATGCTTTTCGCAGTATTAGCCAGTACTCAGGACTTCTCAAATACCAAGTCCAGAAGTATGGGTAAAGGCCTAAGTTTCAAAGAGGGAAATATGAAATATCTAGAATCACCAGAGAGAACAGTTATCTCCCATGAGCCTTAAACCAAAGAACAAGTTAGCTCTGTGGACGGGAGTGCTGCTTGGCCACGGCAGGATGCTCGGGACAAAGTCTGGCAAATAGAGAGAGGAATGAAGGAAGAGGTCTCCTCGTGGCCCGGAGGACCCCTAGAATTCAGACCCACTGTAGGGAAGGGCCAGAGTGGCTCCAAGCAGACGCCCACAGCCTGGCTGAGCCGGACTCAGAACCCCAGACTGGCTTAGGCCTCTCAAGGGCTTCCTGGTCTCCCCCAGATCCTGGGCACTGTACTGGCCAGCCAACCAGGAGTCCTAGAACCAGATAAGGTGAGTAGTATCTTCTGCTCAGTGATTTGTCCCAGGGCATTCATCCCCCTGACTCCACAGCCAGTCACCAAAGCCACTGCTGGGAAATCCCAACCCACAGGGACTGCAGAGAATGCTCCCAAATTCCTGGGCCCCTCTGGGGGCTCTCCAGCGAATCTGCGCACACAAGACTATGGGATGGCTTTTCACAGGTCAGGCCGGGCCTTCACCCAGAGAGCAAAACTCGCCCCACTCTGACAAGCATTCCTGTTCTCTCTTCTGCCACAGCAGCCTAGGTCGGAGACCTTGGGCCACACATGGAGCAAGCCAAGAGAGACATAAAAACCCTGGGCCCAGGGAAGCTAGGTGGCGCAGTGGATAGAGCTCTGGCGGGGAATCAGGAGGACCTGTGTTCAAATCCGGCCTCAGACACTTGACACTTACTGTGTCACTCTGGGCAAGTCACTTAACCCTGACTGCCTCACCAAAAAGCAAAACAAACACACAAACAAACAAACAAAAATCCTGCCCCTCCCCCCCAAAGGCAGAGCACATACCTGGAAGATGTGGAAGCCAATTGGGTGACACTCACTGTCTTGGCAGTGCTGGCGCAACGTGACTCGGATGCTGCGGGGCCCGTGCCCAGGGGGACGAAGACAGGGAAGCAGGGATTGCTGGGATAGGATGAAAAGTTCCTGCTGCCCCCCGCAGAGCGCCCGCTGCTCCAGCATCCTTTCAGCTGCACTGTCTCCCACTCCCCAGCAGGAAAGTCTTCACAGGGGGAGGCACTACCAGAGGCTGGCTTGATTTCACTGCCCAGTGAGAGAGGACAGAAGGAGAGCGTGAGGACGGGGCGGGGGGAGGGTGACTTCGAGGGGTCTTCCTTAGCTGCTTGAAGCACAGTCGACAGAGGTCCTGCAGAAAGCAGCTGGCCTGTCGAAGGGGACCCAGGAAAGCTGCTCCTGCACTCGCCTCCCCATCTAGCTAACGGTCCAGAGGCCGAGAAGGGGAGCTGGCCGGGGGTCTTTCCCCTGGCCCCTCTCTCACCTGAGCGATATCCTGCCACTGGAAAACACTCGCAGCAGGAAGTGCCCAGCGGCATCCTTCAGGAAGGTGCTGGGAACCACCAAGTAGTAACCAGCAGAGAGGGCACAGCGCAGGTGGACTTCCCGGTCATATGCATGGCAGGCAGTGCCTGCCACAGGCGGGGCAGACAGGACCCCGGGCAGACTGACCCGCTTCTTCTCCACCTGCGGGACACGATTAAAGACAAAAATTCAGCCCCACTTGGCCCCTCCCTCCACGGCGGGGCCTTATGTTGCTTCCCTTCTCAGGAAGTCACCTGAACATGCCAAGGGACCCAATCATTCATTCAACCGAGCAGATGGGGGGCTCAGGCCTCAGAGAAGACCTTGCTCCCCCCCCCCCCCGAGGACTCTAGGAGGAACCGAGTCCCACCTGAAGTCAATGTGGCAAGGAGACTGCCAAAACAGAGGGCATCATGGGAGTGTGACAAGAGTGGACAGAGAAGACACATGACTTAGGCCTAAGAGCCTATTCCGGGGTAGGAGATTCATAGCTTCCTGTACTATCCTGTACTATCGGAGCTCAAGAAAGGAACCCAGCTCTGGAACAGGGTCCATTCTGAGAATGACTGAGGACAGCGGGCCTCCAGTATGCTGAAGCACACAGAAGCATGAATAAGTATAGTCACCTCAGATTTAGAAAATTTATCTACAAATCTTGGCTCTGAAGAATCACAAAGAAGTCACAAGCTTCTCACAGTTGGGACTGGAGCACACGCCCTGCCTGCTTCCCTGCCAGTCCCCCAAGCAGCCCCCATGGCTGATGCCACACAGGGCAGACGAGCATCCAGGGACTCCCGGCCCAAGCACGGGCTCTCTGGATTTCTGGGCTCGGTGAGAAGAAATGAAGCTAGTCAGAGAGCTGCTGCTGTTGTAGTCAGCCACCACCACTCATTTTTTGGGTCCTCACCTGATCCCTCCTTCCTTTCCTGTTGTTTTTACAAAGACAATGAAGCTCAGGGACAGACTCGGCTGCCCGGGCTGCTCTGTGCCCCAAAGGGCAGCTCTAGGTGACTGGAGCCTAAGGGGCTTTGCCAAGTCAGCTGAAGGCTCCTCTTTACATCCATGCATCAGGCGGCCCCAGGGATGGCCCCCGGTACAGGAGCTGTAGAAAGGTGAGCCAACCTAGTGTACGCACCCCCTCGGGCACCCAGAAACCTGACCGACCCACAGAAAGGAGGAGTGTCACGACTTGTAGAGTCCAGGCCCCCAGCCAATATCAACACTGACTCTACCACCTGACAAGTGAGGTCCGACGGCAACTGCTCCAAACCTGCCGCAGACACCCCCCAAAAACCAGGGGCCTGGCTCCTCCCCGCCCCCGCCCCACGGGTCTCACTGTCCTTCTGCCAGCACCTCCCCTGTAAAGGGTAGCACAGCTGGGGAAAGAGGCCTTCGGCGCTCCTGTGCCAAGTGCCTCAGGAGGGGCTGAGTGGCGAGGCTCTGCCTGGTGAAGCTGATGTGACGTCTGCATCGCACCTCCGGACTGGGACAGGCCCCTCTAGACACACCCATTTCGATTAGGTTTTGGGATGTTTCACAGAATCACTTTTCGTAATTATTATTACTTCCTCTCCTACTCTGGGCAAGCTGGATGCATTTTAATTTTCGGAGTACCACCAGCCAGAAATAGCCTCGCCCAGCGTTTCAGCTTTGGCACCGTCAGCCCAGATCGCCTTTGGCGAGCTATCAGCGTGTACTCTCTCCCCCCACTGTCCCTCCGTCAAGGCCGCCAGATGCTGCTCAGGAAGCAGGCAGCAGGTTCCTCGGCCTAGTTTCTCCCCTCTTTGGTTGTTACCTTCCACACGTGGAGTCCCACTGCTTGGTAGTCCTTCCCAGGGAGGCCCTGCGGGCCCAGGGCTGGCCTGCTGCCTCTGCTTGGAGCTGGGGCCAGGATCCTGCCTGCCCAGTCGGCCTGGCACATTCGGGGTCTCTGCAGGAGGGCAATGCATACCTCACTTGGTTCCAAGACCCGCAGCCAGAATTTGGGATTGCTAGGGAAACTGCTGTTGTTACGGCAACCTCCTGCAGACTGCCCTTTCACCCAGGCCCCAGGCAGCTTCTGAGTGTGATGTAACACCTTTGCTAGTACAAAAACACACAGAGCATGTCAGCATGGGGAAAACGAAGCCACTCGGCCCCTGCTTTCTCTCTGTGCTCGAGGAAAAAATGATCAGTTCAGAGTGGAAGCCGTATTAATGACCCAAATACGGGCTGCATCCCCCAAGGAATGGTAGGCAATCTCATCCTTCCGTGAAACAGAAGGATAATAGAGTCTTTCTACATCACAGGAGGAAAGTGGGGGCCCATAAGGGAAGCTGAACAGGGGTCTCCTCAGGGCCATACGACAAGGCCAGGGTGCAAGCAACATAACTTAGGAGCTGCTTCTGATCCCCTGTGGCCGACCATCGAGCGTCAAGGCCCAGAAGGCGCATTAGTGAGGCCTCGGTGGGACGAGGTAGGCCGACGCAACCTCCTTGGGGTCCTGGGCCGAATACCCCTTCCCTTGTAGCTCGTCTGTCCAAACTCACCACCTACCAGTGTAGAGGCTCTGCAGGTGGCCCTCCTCTGTGATTGGGTAGCTGATGGTGATCTCATCAAACTCCCTGATAAACTCCTCTTCTTCAACCCAAAATTCCCCTTCCTGGAGCTGGGACAAGAGTTCGGAAGCATCTGCTGGGTCTAACTGGTCCCATCCTTCACCCCTGGAAAAAGATAGCCAACCTACATTAGTCTCACTGCAGAAGAGACAGCCATTCCCCAAGGAGGGGGTCACACCAACAAACACGCCCACTAACAGTCACTAACAGGAAAAACCTGCATTCTCCTCACTGGAGTCCCACTTTCTCCAGGTCCTGGGAGTTCCCAGCATCTGGCCACTTTTATATCTTCGTGCACCCAAGTCATTCTATATACGCTGGACTCTTCGATGATGAAAACCCTGCCCTAGCATTCCTCAACACCACACCTCTCCAGCACCTCTGCAGGGCACCCTGCTGCTTCTCCCTCTAGAAAAGGGGTTCCAGACTATGGCAGGAAGGAGCCACTCGAGAACACTGGGCAGGTGGGTGAGTCAGGGGTCTGAGAAGGGGAGGGGTTTCAGTCTGCACAGCAGGTTCTCCAGGGTCAGCAAGAGCCTGCACAGTAGGAACGGCCTGGCACAGTCTCATGCACTGGGTAGAGACCCTGATCCAGGGCTAACCAACCAAAAATCCCGGCAGGCACTGGAAGAATCCTCAGTTACCCTTTCATTTCATGGATGAGGACGCAAAGGCCAAGAGACGGGCTGACTCTGAGAGCTGCACTGGGGGGAGCCCTGGGTTCAGAGGCCGCGTCACGGCTCCGCCCTGGATGCGCTGAAGACGTTGGGCCTTTACCTCCACATCCGTGAAATCCAGACATCAGACCAGGTGACTCACGAGCCCCCTCCAGCCCTAAGCCTAGGACCAGTGCCCAGGGCCGAGCCCAACCCACTGCTCGTTCTTCAACACTAATGAAAGCCTCTTTCTGGCAGAGCACCTGCCATAGCTCCTGTCTACCCAGCCAGCTGCAGCATCCACCTTCATGGAGGGCATTCCCTGAGGGGATATTCAAGGACTTCCCGGCTGGGCGACCCTGGGCAGATCACTTCAGCCCCATCTTCCTCCATTTCCTCATGTGTGAAATGAAGACAACAGCAGTACCTGCCCCCTGGGTTGCTGTGAGGATCAAGTGGGACGATATTTGTGGAGAACTCTGCCACCCTAAAGATGCTCACTATGAAGGCCAGCTCTTAATGACCAGTTCTAGCACGGGGCCAGGTGACTAACTGCAGAGCCAAGGCCGGAGGGCCAAAGTGCCAGGCCTGGCTGCGTCACCAGCAAACCATCTAGCAGACGACAGAAATCACCGGCGCTGATGACTTCACGAGGCCGTGGGCGGCGGATGATGAAGGGACACATAAATGTGGACTCCTCCCTGACCAGAGCTCTGGCAGCGAGGACCAGAAAGCGGGAGACCCAGATTCGTGTCCCCAGGCCCCACACCCAAGTGCTTCAGCGCCCACCTGTCCCTTCTCCCCGGGCCAGTGCACCGTGACTCCTGGGGCTGCCACAGCCACGGCCCAGAACACTCACTCCTCTCTCCAGGGCCCCCGCCAGCACCGCCGACCCCACGGGTTCAGAATCCGGAGCAGCAGCAGCTCCCTGCCCAAACTGCTGCGGAGCTCCCGAACGTCTGAGATGATGAAGGCGTGAAACTCCCCTAATTCACTGGCACCTGCGGGAAGAGCGCAATTAGGGCACAGTCACTGGGTGATGAGGGAGACACAAACCTGCCCCAGCCGGCGAGGCCCAACCCTGAAGGGGCACCATCCTTGGCCTGGATGGCATGGCCATCCTGAGAGCTCTGGTGGCCCACGCCGTGGGCAGAGCAGGTGTTGCTCACTTCACTGAACTGCCTTCCATCTCTGTTACAAGGAAAGGCTCCCTGGGGTGAGACACACGAACGATTCATTGCACGTCAAGAGAGAAGTCTTCAGGGAGACTTTTAAAAGTAACAAAGCACCAGGCCCTGTGGTTGTACAATGAGAATCAGTCTCCTCCCTTCCCGTGTAGCTCTCAAAGGCTGGTCTGGCAAGGCTCTGAAGGGGGAGGCAGGGCTGCAATTCCCCAGGGCCCCTCTTGTTGTTTAGTCAGTTAGTCAGGTCCGACTCTCCGTGACCCCATTTGGGGTTTTCTGGGCAGAGACATTGCAGCGCTTGGCCATTTCCTTCCCCAGCTCACTTTACAGATGAGGCAACTGAAGCAAACAGGGTGAAGTGACTTGCCCAGGGTCACACAGCTAGTTCGTGTCTGAGGCTGCATGTGAACTCACGACGGTCAGACTCCCTGACTCCAGGCGCCACCTCGCTGCCCCAATGGGTCCCTGGCCATCTGCCATTTCCCAGAAGTCCCTTCCCCAGGAATAAAGCGGAGGAGCGATGTGGAGACGTGTCTCTACCCTGTATTTCTTCTTCTGGACAAAGATCCATCCAAAGTCACTGTGGACCATAGGGTGACTTCTAGTCACTGGGCAGATGTATACATGTGAGTTTTCAAGTGTGTTAAAATGTGTAAAGGAAGACAAAGGGGAACTTCCGAGGCAAAACTCAAGATATGGACATGCTGGTGTGGACGTGGTGAAGGCAGTACAAGAGGAGGGCTCCTCAGCCTTGGAAGGGCTAAGAGTCTGACTTCACGTGAGAAGCTGAGGAAAAGAATCACTTGTGTCTTCCTTTGGCAGTTAACAAATTGGGCCATTGGTGTGCTGTCAGTCCAGTAAAGAGAGCCCTAAGAGGCAAGGCCAGGAGATAGAAGAGAAAGAAAATAGGGAGGGCGCACTGGCGGAAGCGAAAACACTGAGTGACAAGGGTGCCTCAGCTTGGACAAATGGCATAAGGAGCCGAGAGCCTGCAGTGGCCAAGAAACGTGCCAGTGAGGGGCTTCCTGGAGGGGCGAGGGGGGCATCCAAGAGGGAAAGACTTCACTTCTCCAGGAGGGCCTCAGGACACAGCGTGGAGACCGAGGGAGACAAAGTGAGAAGGAAGAACAGTAACAATTCTGGGAGGGGGCCTGCATGTGACAAAGTGGAGTCCACACAAGAGGACCTGTGCCAACTCAGTGAGAAGGCGGCTTCCCTGGCCTGCATGTAACTTAATTTATTTATTTATTTTTTGGTGAGGCAGTTGGGGTTAAGTGACTTGCCTAGGGTCACACAGTTAGTGTCAAGTGTCTGAGGCTGGATTTGAACTCAGGTCCTCCTGACTCCTATCATCTGTGCCACCTAGCTGCCCCCCACCTTGTAGTTTATACTCTGAAATTCCCCAAGTGAACAGGTCAAGTTTGTTCTCTGAACTGATTATAGGTGACTGATTACATGCCTAAAGTGGCCACGTCTGGAGAAGAGAAAGAGGAGGCGCACATCCTGTGGCCCAGGGGCAAGGCCTTTCAGGTGCAAGTCCTCCCTGTTCTCTGGTTTCCAGTGGTGGCAGCAAAAAAAGCTCCCCTGAGATGGGGATCTGGGGCCAGATAAGGACAGCAGCTTGGGGAAGGAAGCCTTCTGTTGGGGCGAGATGCCTCACCTCGTCCTAAAGTCACGCCTGGAGGCGGAGGCCAGCAGCAAGGTGGCTTCTGAAAGCCTCGTGGGCTGCTGAGGGCTCCGAGACTAGAGAGGAGAGGGCTCAGAGCAGATGGGACAGCCCCACCGGCGGCATCCCAGCCGTGTCCGGGGTCGTTACCTTCCCGGGAGCTGAGGACGGAGCAGCTGATCACACACTGGTCCTTGAAGTCCAGCAGCCTGTGGAAGGTCCTCTGCTCCAAGCTGCTGGGACTGCTCAGCTTGTCCCCGCTCCATCCTGGGTCCTTCAGGCTCCACCTTTCCGCCAGACCTCCAGTTAGATCCACCAGGGCATCTGCCACCTGCCCTGCCCACAGATGTTCATAGGACCCATAGACCCTAGGAAAGTGCAACAACAATGACCCAGCATGCATCTCGGCCCTGCCACAGCAAGGAGGGTACCAAGGCCTCCTCCTCCCCCCTCCCCACTCCAACCCATGAGCTCTTCGTCCCCTCGCTCGGCCTCCTCCTCACCGCTGCCTTGAGTCACAGCTCATTCTTGCTTTCCGCACAGCAATGGGCAGTGTTCTAGTCACACTCTCCATCGTTTCCTGTCTCTCTCCAGACACAGCTGTACTAACGCTCACATGAGCCACCCACTTCCCACCTGTCCAGTTGCCATCAAGGTCGAGCCCCACTTTCCCAGGGAGCACGCCCTGATCTATGCAGTGAGGTGCACATGCTTTTGTTTCTGACACAATCAGCCTTGCCAAAAAGAAAAGGGAGGTTGGCAGCTCATCCTGCGTTAGCTGACCTGTAAGCTCACAAATGCTCACGTGAGACACGTAAATGTCAGCTCTTATCATTACTGGTATTATGATGGGACAGAAACTCATCCTCACTGTTTGACAAAGCGTCCAGGTTAGGCCTGGGCATCCAAAGTCATTCCAGTCAATAATGAAAAACAAGCAAAGACACGACTGCCATTCACAAAGCAAGTGGAGCGCTGATGCGGTTTGGAGAAAGGAAAAAGGAAGAGGAAAGCTCGCCCTTCCTCTAGGGAGCGCTGTCCTGAAATCCATCCCCCAAATAGACAGGGATAAAAGATGCGGAAATCAATCCCTTCACTCCTCCCTCAGGGTTACCCCCAAACACCTGCTCTGGTCCCCAGGATCCTTGAGGCTAAATGGGCTGGCTTCTGCTGCCAAGCAGAGGAGAGGGGCACCTAATGGAGGCTGCCCAGGGAGGCTCCAGGCTCCTCTCCACCCACCGCTTCCGACAGGGCCCCGGTCGCTGGCACACGTACTTGGCATACACCTTTTCCAGCAGGGGGAGCCAGAACACATCTTCCGTCTGACACTGGGAAAAGCACAGTCTCCCCCAAGGCAAGGCAGGCGGTCATCCACGGTCACCTCCACCCACTGTCCAAACTGCCACACCCGACAGGTCAAACACCCCCGGTAGGCTGGATCCGGCCAGCTGGGCTGCCCTGGGGGAATCACCTATCAGGGAGAGAGGGAGTCAGCGAGAAGTCATGATAGAGAAAACAAAGAAATGTCCTGGCAAAAGCAATATACACACACCCCTTTACCAGAGCCTGGCCATATACCAACCATTCATTCCAGACACACTTTCTTATTGCTAAGAAAGAGAGGAATTCAGCAAAGTGAGAAGTCCCAGTGTGGAAACTCCCTCCACAGATGCAGATTGGCTACTTGTCTGCAGCTTAACAGTCTTAAAGAGCTGCCTGGGACACTGAGAAATTCATTTAATATGCCATGAAAATGAAAATGACTTTTCAGTCAAAGATTTCAGGGTCACATCGAGTGAGCAATAGCTGAGAGCCATCCTATCACTTTTCACTGTCAAAAATAAGCCCCTAACCTAAACTGAGATCAAACACAACTTTTGCTGGTTTATAAACCCATCTTCAGACTCAGGTGGGAAGTCCCCCTGAGCTGCCACTCACTGGCTGCCTCACTGCACTGACCACTCTTGGCCTCAGGAATGTCAGTCACATCTGGCTCAACAGGTTACCTGTCAGATGACTTGGGCAGTGATGTGACCCACTATCTGGGAGGGTGGGGAGGGACAGGATGACTGTCGCTGGGCATTGCTGACAATGGAAAGCACACAGAAATACAAAGCTCTGTGATGCCTCTGAAATCCTGAAGAGTCTGTCTGTGCCTGCAGAGGTGACTCAGCTAGGACCATGGACAGTCTCCACCGGAGGTAAGCCCAAGTCTCCTCTGCATGCCATCCGCAATCCCCTGGATGTGTCAGGAGACACAACTACAGCAGCGGGCAGGGACCTCTCCCCCAGGTGAATTTTTCAAACATACAGAACAGTTCCATTTCAAGTTCATTCACTGTAAATCCCTGAGGACACTGGAAAGCTTGGGAGATGTCCGAATCGCCCAGAAACCAACTGGATCCAACTCAGCCAGCAGAGAAGAAACTGGCAGTCTGTGTCTCTACTTTTAAACTCACCCTGACTGATAACACTTGGCAGGTCCTCACACTTCCAACTAACCATCCTGAGCAGCTACAGCAGAGGCACCTGAAACAGCAAAAACTTCAATGGCCTCTTCCCCGGCTTCCTGCCACTGCTCCCTCACTAGCTTCCTGAAGGGATTCCGGGGGGCAGCAGAGGACGGGGGAAGAGAAGAAGCCTGTGCTTTCCAGCCCCAGCAAGAGGCAGCAAGGACCAGGAGGGGAGGAGCCCCCTTACCTGATCCAGGAGATGTTTGCTCTTCTGGAGGGCTGCACAGGCACAGAGGAACCAGCAGTCTCCCAGAATCCCCTGCTTTATCTGGCCTTCCTGTGGGTTATCTGGGAACAGTCGAGGTGTGGAACAAATTTCCTAAAATAAAGAAAAAGTGTTCCCAGTTAGATCAGAATTAGGTAGCAGAGTTACCGATCAAATTTTCCCGAGCATCCCCTGTACTACTTGGCATACAAAGGAAACAGCTGTGATTTCTGACCTCCAGACACTCACAATACAGCTGTAAAGACAGAACAATGACCACACAGAGATTAACCATCAGAGTTAGGGGAGACCTGTATGGAACAATGCCAAACCCGGGACAAAACGATGAGGAAACAATGACATGAAGACGGGCTGAAGGGACCCAAATCAATGAAAGGCATGACCTGAGTACAATGGCTGAGAAATGAGGCCATGGAACATGATACGGAGGATGCCAGGGTCCTGGGCCCTTTAATCCCTGCTGGTGACGTGCCTGGAGGCCAGTGCCAATGGAAACAGATCAGCTATGACTCCATTGTTTTCTTAGGGCCCTTCACCCTTGGTTGGTGCCAAAGGAGGAAGGAATGGCGCTCAACACCCTAAGGATCACCGCACAGAACCGGACAAGCCTAGGCCCTCCCTATGCTCTACAAATGGGCAGTAGTGGTGCAGGGGATAGAGTGCTGGACCTGCAGTCAAGAAGACTCCCCTTCCAGAGTTCAAATCTGGCTTCAGCTATCTGACCCTGGGCAAGTCACTTCACCCTGTTTGCCTCAGTTTCCTCATCCATAAAATGAGCTGGAGAAGGAAATGGCAAATCATTCTAGTATCTCTGCCACGAAAATACTAATGGGGTCATGGAGAGCTGGACACGACTGACTGACCCCTGAACCCTGCTCTCCAGTGTTTGACAGTTCTGTTGGAATGAGACTGTGAGCTCCTCAAGAGCAGGGGCTGCTCCCCCCCTCTTCTTTATATCCCCAGCACTTAGCACAGTACCTGGCCCACAGTGAGTGCTCAATAAATGCTTCTTAACTTGAACTTGGGAGAGATGACATGTTATATAACAAGTGAAGCCTGATATTATCACCAACCATCTTCTATCCCGCCAACAATGAGAAACAGGTCCTCTAAATCCCAGCATCTTATGAGAGGCCTTCAGAAGCTGCCTAGGCCAACCAATACCTGAGCAGCATTCCTTTTTACAATGACTTCAACCAACGATCCTCTGACCTTGACCTGAAGACCTCCTTGAGAGGGAGTCCCCTAGCCAGAAGCAGTCCATGTCACTTTGGGAATGCTTTCATTACTGGGAAGCTTTTCCTCACACTAAGCATCGGATTCTTCATCCCAGGCATGAATTCGGAATGTCAAGCAACCGAACCAGGCCCAGGGTCCAGCATCATTCCACTAGAGAATGTGGACCTTTGCTCATCTCAAGTTTTGGGGCACTTCTCCTGGTCTTGATTCCTCAAATATAAACAGTGGTTCAACAGTCCCATTTATGAGTTCTTTCAGACCCAGGGAGATGTTTAAAATTTCAAAAGGACAATTGTTTTAATACAAGTATTAAATAATTAAAATACCCTTTAGCATGGTGTCTTGGACTGAACATTAGTAGTCACTATACAAGTGACTGAATGGGGGCTGGGTGTCACAAAATAGAAAATAGTGTATTCCTCCTCTAAGACAAGCCTGAGAAAGACATGCCCAGGCCCTGAAAATAAGATTCTAAGGCGGATTCTGGTGAACTTGTAAACCAGCCAGCATCACCTGTGGTCGAAGCCAGGTGATATCTTCTCGGAACTGAGCCAGGGGAGTGGAAAAGGTACAAAAGAGGGAAGAGTCACAGGCAGGGAATGTGGCATCCTTGAAGAAATCCTGCTCCGGGGGCGACTCTCTCCCATTCGCTGGCATTTTCAGCATCGCAAAGGCCACCAGCCACCCGGAAACTTTGTCTCCAACCTTAATCTGCAACACAGAATCCCGACGAGGTTTGCAGGGGAGAAAAAGGTCCCTAACCAGAGCATCAGGGTCTTTTACAGCTATAAGTTATGCAGGTGCTGCGCAGCCCCGGGGGGTCCATAACACGGGGCTCTGCCCCATTCCAGATCTGGGGCTTCTCCCCCGAGATCGAATGAATCTGGGGCTGAGTGAGACCCCCAGATCACCCTCCCCCCTCGTTTGACAGCCCAGGAAACTGAGGCTCCAGAAGAGGGCTTGACTCGCCCAAGATCACAGAGCTACTGAGGCAGGAGGGGATGATTCCAAGGCCAGGAGGCACTGACCACAGGGACAGCTGGCCACACCTTCGCCCACCCATCAGACGGGGGTGAGGGGGGGGCAGTGGGGAGAGGTCTGAAAAGGGGGGGCGGGAAAGCGGGAGGCCACCGCAGACGAGGAAGAAAAGAAGGTGGGACAGAGCAGAGGGGGAGGGGAGAGGAGGGGGTCTAAGGCACAGAAGAGAAGGGATGGGAGGAGGTGCTGGGGAGGAGGATGGGGAGGGTCTAACCTATTGAAGAGAGAAGGGTCAGGCGGGTAGGGGAAGCAGGGGGAGGGGAGAGGAGGCGGTCTGAGGCGCGGAAGAGAAGGGGCAGGAGGGGGTGCCGGGGAGGGGGAGCGGGAGGGGGGGTCTAGGATACCGCGGGCCCGGAGGACAAGGGCCCCCCGGGGAGGGGAACTAGGGGGCAGGGCGAGGGAGGGGGAGGGGAGAGGAGGGAGGGTCCCAACCCCTCCAGTAATTAGAACAGCCACCGCCCAGCAAGTGACGCCCTCCGCCCGGCCCCTCGCTCACCTCCTCCAGGGCCCTGTCCCACTCCTCCTCCCACTCCAGCTCCCGGAGCCGACGCCGCCCCGACCGTCACCCACCTCCTGTCACTCCGTCTCCACAGCAACCGCCCCCCCACCGCACCGCAGCCAACCAGACCAGCCCCATAACGCCACATGACACGTCCGGCGAATGGCGGGCCACTTCCTCTGAGTCCTGAGCCCCCGCGCAGCCGCAGAAGCCGCCGCCTCTAGTCTGGGACGCTCAGCTCCCCCTGCTGGCGTTCGTAAAGAGGTGGGGGGCGGAAAGAGCCGTCCCTGTCCCCAAGGAGCTTCTCTTCCAAAAAGTCACAGCCTTTCCCTGAACCTCAGTTTCTCCGTCTGCCTGTAACGCTTCCTCTTGGGACACACCCCCAAATGGGCACGCACACCCTGGTTCGGGGTCCCCGGAAGGGTCGGCTGCTACTTGACCGCAGGCTTCTGGAGGTTACCGAGAGAGGTGGCGGGAAACGACTGCTTCAGGAGCCCCCAGCAGTGCGCTTCCCAGCCACCGTCAGCCAGTCGTCTCCCTCAGCTTTCAGCGAAAGTGCCTATTAAGCAGGTCTAATAAACAAACATTTACCCCACTGAAGCCGGGGACGCAAATGCACATCTGTGAGAAGAACGGGCTCAAAGTTAGAAGCACAAGGATACCACGGGAAGAGAGCACATGGAGCAAAGGAGGACTTCCCACTTCTGGGCTCGGCACTGCTTTTCTTCCTTCATGTGGTCCTCAAGAAGTTCCCCTTTAAGGGGCAGCTGGATGCCACAGTGGATAGAGCACCGGCCCTGAGGTCAAATCCAGCCTCAGACCAAACACTTGACACTTAGCTGTGTGACCCTGGGCAAGTCACTTAACCCCAATTGCCTAAAAAAAATCTTTTTTTAAGTTCCCCTTTGGTGTAGCTTTATGCTAGGCTGGATCCAGAGTTGGCACATCTCTCCTAAAACGGATGCTGTTCTTGGCTGTCTTTCTGCATCCTTTTCTGCCTCTTTCAAAGCTGTCAGGTCACCAACACGACCACTGTTACTGCTGCCATTTAGTTCTGACAATGGGACCTCTGGGTCTCCCAAACTTACATCATCTGAATGCTGCCATCTCAGAATACTAACCTACCTACAATCAGGAAAAAATAAACAGAAGAGAGAGAGAGAGAGAGAGAGAGAGAGAGAGAGACAGAGGAGGCCAGGTGTTCACAGCTGCCAAGTAGGAGACAGGACTCTCATCCCCCTTCGTCCAATGTTGGAAGCAGTTTAAATGATATTAGAAAGCCCCAAAGAATCCTCAAAGTCCCCAAAGAAAGAAAATGATGAAGAAGGTCACTCCTTTCGTGTGCCCTTTCTTGTGGTGTGACTGACTCTGTGACCCCATTTGGGGTTTTCTTGACAAGGATACTGGAGGGGTTTGCCATTTCCTTCTCCAGCTCATTTTGCAGATGAGGAAACTGAGGTAAACAGGATTAAGTGACTTGCCCAGGGTCACACAGCTAGGAAGAGTCTGAGGCCAGATTTAAATTCAGGAAGATGTCTTCCTGACTTCCTGACTCCAAACCTAGCACTCCATCCACTGTGCCACCTTGATTCTCCATATGTATTGTATGCCCACACAATTCCAACTCAGTAATACCTGAGTCATCAGTTCTCCTGGCTCTGCAGCCATTTAGAAAACTTTTCATCATTGCAGGTACCAGCCCCTTAATCACCCAATAGGCTTCACAGGCACAACACCTCCCGTCCCTCCCTGCACCCCCCCTCCCCAGCCACTCCAAGTCTCTATGTGGTCATTTGGACTGGTAGCAGGTAGTCCATGTCTACAGATGAATCCAGGCCCCAAAGGTCAGTCCACTCATGCTACCTATAAAAATGGGGATAAAAATGATGGCACTCCACCTGTGTCACAAGGGTGTGAGATTCAAAGATTATGTTGCCTGCCTCCTAAGAGATAGCTGATAGACTCAAGGTACCGAAGGGCCACTGTGTGGGTCAGTTTTGTCAGACTGGGCTTATTTGTAACAAGGTTGTTGTTTTTTTCTCTTTCTCAAAGTTTTTAATGGGGAGAGGGGCAAGGAATCACAATAGTAATATGAAAAAAAAAGCCATTGTAACATGTTTTTAAAAGACAGAAGGAAACACAGGCAAGCAGGATAGTTTTGAACTTAATGTGTAGAATTTATTACATATTTTGTAAAAAGCAAGCAGTATGGATTTACAAAGAACTTGACCCCAGAGAAAAGATATGAAAAGACATCTCCCTCTGCATCTTTGCAAAGGAAAGAGGATCATGGGTAGGGAACATTGCTTATATTTTCAGATTTTTTCCTTTTGTTGGTTGGTTTTCTGATTGCTTTTCCCCCTCTTATTCCAATTTTTCTTTTTTTTTTTTAAAGGATTCTTAGTTATATAGGAAAGGGCAGGGGAGGGCTATAGAGGAAATTTTAAGTGATTTATAAACATATAGAAGTTTTAAAGGAAATCCAGCACATGAGCCAAGACTGGGGCAGGGGGGAGGAAAACAAGGGACATGAAATGGAGATTTACTGCCTCATAAAATCCTCTCTCTTTTATTGTGTACGGAATTGCTCATTATTTTGATGTTTAAGTTCAGAATTAAAAAAAAAAAAATCAATTCCAAGGCCATATAGTTAGTCAAAGCTGGGCAGCAGAATTAGAACCCAAGTCACCACTGACTCCAATTCTACCATTGCTTCTCCAAAGGGCAAGGATAAGGTGGGGTCAGGTTTGGTAGCTGTGAGGCCTGGCTGGGCAGTCCAAGAAGGCACTAAGGGATCAGCCTGGGACGCTGAGCAGGTACAGCCAGGACCCCTGCCCTTACTGCTTGGTGCATCCTTATCTTTAACCAGGCAGTGTGGTGTAATGCAGAGTGCTGAGTTTGGGGCCAGACCTGGATTCAGATCTTGACTCTACGACCTAGACCTCCATCTAGAGCACTGGGCTTAAAAGGGGATGCAGGTGGACAAGGTGAGAACTCTCGGGCTCAAAAGCAGCATGAGGAAACTGAGGCAGGGAAGAGTAGCACTTAAAACCTCTGTCCCCAAAAGGATAAGTTCAGGGCTTCCTCTCCTGTCAGGGCTAGGGCATGGGATGGAAACCTGAGACAGCAGACTGAGGCACTGGAAATCCTAGAGGTGAAGCAGAGAAATTCCCCTGCAGTGGGATGGATGAGTAATGGGAGTAGTAAAGCATCCGCGTGGGGGCACTGGGATGCCCTAGGTGAAACTTCATTTTTCAGATAGCGACCCCAGCAACTCTCAGGGCTGCCTTCTTGAGGCAGCTGCACAAAAGCTCAGCAGTAAAGCATTGGCTTCCACCGGTCACCTCAGGAAAGAAATCCCCAAATAAAAATGCCAAGGAACATTATAGCCAAATTATAGAACTACCAGGTCAAGGAAAAAAATACTACAAGTGGCCAGAAAGAAACAACTGAAATATCAGGGAGGCACAGTCAGAATTACACAGAACTTGGCGGCTGCAGCGTTTAAGGATCAGAGCTCATAGAATATGGTATTCTTCAAGGCAAAGGAGCTAGGGCTACAGCCAAGAGTCACCTGCCCAGTGAAATGAAGCACAATCTTTCAAGGGAAAAATGGCCATCCAATGAGACAGAAGGATTTCAGGCTTTCGTAAGGAGAAGACAAGAACTGGACAAAAAATTTGATCCCCGACATCAAGACAAAGGAGAAGCCTAGAAATGGAAAAAAGGAAAAGAAAACGTAAGGGATTCAATAGAGCTGAACTGTTTACATCCCTACATGGGAAGATGATACTTGTGATTCTTTAAAATTCTTAAAAATAGAAAGAGGAGGACACTGGGTGTAGAAGGAAGGGAGAGGTAGAATGGGGTAACCTTTTGCACATGAAGAGGTGCACACATAAGTTTACATGGAGAGAAAGATGGGAGGGTGGGCAATGGGCATCGCTTGAACCTTACTCTCATCAGTATTGACTCAAAGAGGGAATAATGTACACAATTGGTTGAATATAGAACTCTATCTTACCCAACAGAAAGTAGGAGGGGAGAATATTATGTAAAGAGGTGGGGGAGGTACTGACAGAAGAGAAAGTAGACTGGGGAAGGCTGTTGACAGAAGCAAAATACTGTCAAGGAGGGAAAGGGTGAAAAGAGAGAAAGGAAAAATAAGATGGAGGGAAATACACAGGTAGAAATCATAACTGTGAATGTAAATAGGATGAACTTGATGCAGTTTGAGAGGTTCAGGGACCCCCCCACATACATACACACACCAAGGACTGAAGTACAGGACAGAGGCATCTAGAATGAATTCATGGACTCAAGCAGTCTTCCAGTCAGGTGGCAAAAAGTTTATTATAACGCTAATGTGGCAGGCAGAGCTCCTTAGGGAGCTTGCAACCTAACAGGAATGATGCTGAAGCTTATATTGGAAAAGTCGTGGATTGTGTGCCAAGTATGCTAATTAGGTGATAACATGCAACCTTAGTTACAGGTGTCATTCACTACTGGAAACTGGGGAGAGGGGTTCTTAAGGTGTGTTTTTGATCTGTTGTGTCTGTAACAAAATAGCATCAGGAGTTGATGTCTGTAACTTGACCTCTGGATCATACATGATAACTGAGGGAATCAGTACATGGTCATTGTGTTAATACAAGATAGTACAAGGGAAATTCTACAGAGTCAGTTTGTTCTCGTAACAGGGAGAGATAGTTTGCCTCACTGGACCCACTCATGGGTTGTTGCCAGAGATGGGGTCTTTGGGCTGGGGGAAAAAACTGTCAGGGACAGTGTTTTGAGGCTACGGAGAAATATGGTCTTGGAATAGGGGTCAGAGTATTAGCACCCAAGCACCTCATCACATTCTCCCATAAAATGGAAGCAGATAGCCGAGTGGATCAAAAACCAGAATCCTACAATATGTTGTTTACAAGAAACACACTTGAAGCAGAGAGACACACACGAATAAACGAAAGGGGCTGGAGCAGAATCTATCACGCTTCAGCTGAAGTTAAAAAACCAAAAACAAAAAACCAAGAGTAGCAATCCAGATCTCAGACAAAGCAAAAGCAAAACTAGACCTAATTAAAGAGCTAAGGAAGGAAACTACATCTTGCTCAAAGGGACCGTAGACAATGAAGTAATATCAACATCAAACGTATATGCACCAACTGGTATAGCATCCAAACTCCTAAAGAAGTTAAGTGAGTTACAGGGAGAGCATCACAAGATGTAAAATAGATCATTTTGTTATATTAAATTAGAAAGCTTTTGCACAAACAAAACCAATGCAACCAAGATTAGAAGGGGTAACAGTAAGATGTTACGGGCTGCACAGCGCTCACAATTTGTGTCACAGGTTCGGATCCATACCTACAAAGACACGTTCACACTTTTCCTAGCTTATAAATGATTTAATAATGACAATCATCATAAACATAAATGTGATTACATATGATTATACAATCTTAGAAGCAAAGACTGTTAACAGAAAGATGGAGAAAGCACCAACTTCTGAACATCTGGCGGGGGGGAGCCCTGTATCACGGCTGTCAGGGTCTCGGTTGGGAAAGTCCCTACGGCAGAGCGTTCTCTGCCAGGGAGACTCCCAAAGTCACTTCCCCAAGAAAGACTCTTTTTATCATCCTTACACAAAGAAGGCAGGGATCCAGGGAAGAGGTGATTAATCCTAAGGACCTGAGAATTTTGGCTGAAACTCTCTGACCTCAAGAACAATCTTTGTTATGTCAAAAATGTCTCAGATCAATACCCAGGAACTGGCCAAGTCCCTGGATGTTTACCTCAAGACTTGTTTTTTTAAGGAATAGTTCCCCAAGGTGGGTCTGGGTTGAAACAAATCCTAGAACAATACGTTAGGGAGGTTCCCTGTGCCCTGGCTTGGGCTGTGGGTAGGGAAGATCTTATACATTAACCCTTCAGAAGGAAAGCAGAAAGCTGGGAAATAATCCCTACAGCAAGTGTCTCTGATAAAGGCATCATTTCTCAAATATATAGAGAACTGAGTCAAATGTATAAGAATACAAGCCATTCCCCAATTGATAAATGGTCAAAGGATATGAATAGGCAGTTTTCAAATGAAGAAGTCAAAGCTAAACTGTAGGCATATGAAGAAATGCTTTAACTTACTTTTGGCTAGAGAAATGCAAATTAAAACAATTTTGAGGCACCACCTCACACCTATGAGATTGGCTAACGTGACAAAAAAAGAAAATGATAAATGCTGGAGAGGATGTGGGAAAATTGGGATGCTAATATATTGTTGGTGAAGTTGTGAACTGATATAACCATTCTGCAGAGCGATTTGGAACTACGCCCAAAGGGCAACCAAACTGTGCATAACCTTTAATCCAGCAACACCACTACTAGGTCTGTATCCCAAAGAGAAAAGGACCTACATGTGCAAAAATATTTTTTCATGGTGGCAAAATATTGGAAATTGAGGGGATGCCCATCAATTAGGGAATGGATGAACAAACTGTGGTATATGAATGTAATGGAATACTAATGTGCAATAAGAAATGATGAACAGGCAGATTTTAGAAAAACCTGGAAAGAACTGATGCAAAGCCAAATTAGCAGAACCAGGAAAACACTGTACACCAGTATCAGCAACATTGCATGATGATCAACTATGAATGACTTAGCTCTTCTCAGCAATACAATGATCCAAGACAAATACAAAGGATCACAAAGGAAAATGCTATACATATCCAGATAAAGAAAGGATGGTCTCCAAATGCAGATCAAAGCATACTTTTTTCACCTGTTTTTCATGGTTTTTTTTTTCCCTTTTGATCTGTTTCTTCTTTCACAACTGTGACTAATATGGAAATATGTTTTACATGATAGCACATGTAGAACCTACATTAAATTGCCTACCATTTTAGGAAGAGGAGAGGGGAGGGATGGAGGGAAAAAAATTTGGAACTCAAAACCTTGTGAAAATGAATGCTAAAAATTGTCTTGACATGTAATTGGAAAAAATAAAATATCGTCAAAAACAAATGAACAAGAGCATTGGTTTTATATCTTCCCACCTCCAGTCCCCTCCACACCTACATTTCTCCCACCCTAACTCTACAGAAGTTCAGTAAGTCATGATGAGCATCTCAGGAGCTTAAAGACAGCCTTCCCTGCCGTATCCTCAAGACCAGCCCCTACGAGGGCTGGCACAGATTTTGTATGGCTGGGGCTGCAGCGTGCCCCAGAAAATATAATCTCGCTCATTCCCAGAGGCCCCCTCAGGAATCTGCAGCTGAAACTCCTGGAGCAGGTTTGTAAACACCAGGAAGAGTTCTACCTTAGCCAGCAGCTCCCCCAAGCACACCCGGTGACCTGGAAGAAGAATAGGACCATAAATACCACTTAAAGTGTCTACCCCCCATGCTGCTCATGGAAGTAGGGTCTTGGGGCTGTTACCTGCTGAGAAGGGCAAGAAGGCCTCATTGATCACAAAGTTTTCTTCATCATCCAAGAAGTGTCTGGGATTGAATTGCCATGGGGTCTCCCAGTGTTCAGGGTCATACAGCACAGAGGCCAGGTTGGGTAAGATGATTGTGCCCTACACAAAGGGAAAGAGGAGTTTGGCTGCTGGGCTGGGGGTGGGGAGGCTTGGTAAGAAACAAACTAGAAGCAACAGCTGGTAGCTAGAAGAGCCATGGTAGGTCATTTCTTCCAACCTTCCTCATTTTTGAAGAAGCTGAATTCTAGGGAGGGCAATAACTTGTTTAAAACCATACAGATCATTAGACACAGTGCTAGGACTCAGATTTGGGCTTTCTGACTCCCAGGTCAATTTGATTCAATTCAAAAAGCATTTATTAAGCACCTACTATGTGCCAAATGGAACTAAGAATGAAACAGACCCTGCCCCCAATGAGATTCCGTGCACGTTATGGTTGCAGGGAATCGTGTTAGGTGTTTAAATCAATGGGTACAGAAGGAAGTGAACAGAAAATTCCCTCCAGGGGTGGGAGCTGGGAAATAATTGTAAAAATTTATACATTTTTAACATTTTATTTAGTTTCCTAGACAAGAGCTCAGCTCTGTTCCCACAGCATGTGAAAACCACAAGCAGCTGGTTGTGTATATATATATATATATATACATACATATATACATATATATACATATATATATGTATATATATACATATATATACATATATATACGTATATATATGTATATATATATACACATATATATACATATATATACGTATATATATACATATATACATATATATACACATATATATACATATATACACATATATATACACATATATATACATATATATACATATATATACGTATATATATATGTATATATATATATATATGTATATATCACAAGGCTACAATTTTGTCTCACTTTCACTGCCTCTTGGGATCTCATTAGAGACCCAGAAATGATGGCTAGGGTGCTAGAAAGAGCAAGGTCTAAGACCCTTCCATCAAAAATGAGATTGTCCCTAGGGTTTTACCAATCCCTTTACAACAAAGTATAAGCTAAGAGAGAAGCTGACATTTTTGCAGCCTCTTCCTCTCTCTTCCTCTCATCAGGACCTCCAGGGTTAAGAGATGAGCACCTTCCATTGGTGCTATCCATTGGGGGCTACTGAATAAACAGAATGCCAGACCATTAGGAATGAATGGGCATTTTCCTAAATGCTTCCTATGTGGTAATCACATTATCCCCTACAACCCTGAGCCTACTGTGAGTGGTGAACTGTTCTGAATCATATTTGCAACCAAAATGTCGAATTGGAGAGGGCATTGATGTTTTGTTGATCTTTAGAAGGAGGTGAAGGTTCTTCTCTCCCTGCTCTTAATGATCTTCAGGTTTGCAAATAGGGACGGACACCTTCCCTGCCCAGATGGAAGATCCAGGAAACAAGGGCATGAAAGGGAGCTAGATCACAATGCCCAGCTCTGCTCTGCCCAGAGGGAAGATTTTCAGACTGTTGTCTTTTTCATTAGATTCCGTGCCCATTATGGTTGCAGGGAATCATGTTAGGTGTTTAAATCAATGGGTACAGAAGGAAGTGAACAGAAAATTCCCTCCAGGGGTGGGAGCTGGGAAATAATTGTAAAAATTTATACATTTTAAATATTTTATTTAGTTTCCTAGACAAGAGCTCAGCTCTGTTCCCGCAGCATGTGAAAACCGCAAGCAGCTGGTTGCCAGTGTTAGGGAACAGGGAAAGCCAGGTGAGGCAACTAAGTGGTAGATAGAGAGCAGGACCTGGAGTCAGGAAGACCTGAGTTCAAATGTGGCCTCAGACACTTCCCAGTGACCCTGCCAAGAAAACTTTAAAAGGGGTCATGAAGAATCAGCCACAATTGTGATGACTGAACAGGACAAAAATGTTTCCTCATCTGTAAAAGGGGGATCATAACAGCATCAACCTCACAAGGTTGTGAGGATCAAATAAGAAGCACTTTGCAAACCATAAAGTGCTCTTATAAGTGCTAGCTATTATGTCAGAATAATATTGATATATTATATATAATTAGCATGTTATTTTGTTCAGCCATTTCAGTCATGTCCAACTCTTCATGACCCCATGTGGGGTTCTCTTGGCAAAGATCCTGGCGTGGTTTGCTATTTACTTCTCCAGCTCACTTTACAGATGAAGAAACTGAGGCAAACAGGATGAAGTGACTTGCCCAGGGTCACACAGCTAGGAAGTGTCTGCGGCTGGCTTTGAACTGAGGAAAAGGAATCTTCCTGCCTCCAGGCCTGGCACTGTATGCTCTATGGCACCACCTAGCTGCCCATTATATACATATTATATGTAACAATATATTATTGATGATGATACTCAAGCTTGTTGCTGCAATGAGATTAGCTCAGTCTTTGAATATGCTCTAGTGACCAGAGTGTTTCAGCCTACTGAAAGGTTGGAACTTCACCTCATTCCCAACACACACACACACACACACACACACACACACACACACACACTCACACACACACACACACACTCACACTCACACACACACACACACACACACACACACACACACTCACACACACTGGTATAGACTAACAGGAAACAGTTTGGGTTGAGTTCCATCTAGCGGTCAATATCATACTGCAAAACCCTTGCCTGAATTTTCACCTTTGTGAAAGCACACAAACACCTGCGCCCATATGATGTCACATATACAAAGTCAAGGGAAGATATTTGGTGGAGGAGCCCTGGCCACTGCGGAGGTTCAGGTGAAGCCTAGTGTAAGAGATGGAACTTGGGCTGAACTTTGAGTTACTTACCAGCCATGGCCCCGCATCTGGCCCAGAGCCTTGCGTATCATAGATGCTTCATAAATATCTGGTGACCCAAGTAGAACTGATAGGGAAAGAAGAGCGAGCTCCCCAGGGACCGTGGACGTCGTGGAGAGGAATGGCCAGGTCTGATGGGTCTGTCTCACTGGAACAGGGCAGGGGTGAGGGAGGGGGACCATGAGACTCTTAGTGCTGCCCTGGACAGCGCCGGCCCTCGTACCTTGTGGATGGGGAATCCCTATGCAGTAGTGGCTGTCACGCACTTGCGCACAGCGCCCACGGAGATGACGCTACAGAAGCGCTGCACTTCACGGAGGACGGCGTGGGTGTAAGGTAAGCGCTTCCGGTCCTCAAAGCTGATCACCTCGGATGAAGCCAGGACTACTTCCAGCTCCTTCTGAACCTTTTCTGCAGAGAGATGCTCAGGGTCATTGGGAGCCAATCTTTTTGGATTCCATGCTCCTGGAGCCTGTCTTATTGCAGAGGAGACGGGATTCTCCTCTAGGTAAGAAGCATCTACTTCAGGGTAACCTGAGTCACACCCAGTCCTACCATGCCATTCTGGTCAATCATCTCCTGATCATTTCTGAGCAGGGCCACGCTCTTGGCTATGAGGAGAGACAAGGCTGAAAAGCCAGAGTCCCCCACCCCCTCACCCTTATTAGAGCGCTCAGTCAGGAGTGGGAGATGAGACAGGCATACATTTGGTGGGCAGCTAGGCAGCTAGGTGTCACAGTGGATAGACCACTGGGCTTGGAATCAGAAAGACTCATCTTCATGAATTCAAATCTGGCCTCACACTAGCTGTGTGACCCTGGGCAAGTCACTTAACCCCACTTGCCTCAGTTTCCTCATCTGTCAAATGAGCTGGAGTAGGAAATGACAAACCACTCCAGTATCTTTGCCAAGAAAACCTCCCATGGGGTCACGGAAAGTCAGAGACAACTGAAATGGCCGGACAGCAACAACAAAGCATTTGGTGGGTCCCCAAGACACCCTCTCCCATCACCAATGCTATCCATCTCTCACCAGTGCCCTCTACCAGCTGGCGTAGCTTAAAACTGTGCTAAGACTTTGGGGACACCAAGTATGCAACCGCAGTCCAAGGACCAGATGAGCTCTGGCTGGAGATACTGCTCACCAGAAGGTTGGCCAACACATCACAATGTTTGTGACTATAGCAGTTCAAAATTATGTAAGCTCCTTGAGGACAGGGGCTGCTTTGCTTTCATCTTATTATCTCCAAAGTGCTTGGCAAATAGGTACTTTAAAATATTTGTTTTGATTTACTAAGGCATGGAGGGTTTGCATTCTATTTCACAACTCATACAGGAAAACCAGGGTTCTGCCCTAGGGTACTGCAATAAAATGCATTCATTCCTTCAATAGCTATAATCCGTTAAAGTAACTAATTCCCCCTTCTGCTCAACAGAATTTGTCTTGATTACTTCTTGTATTAGCTGCACATTGTGGCTTACAAAGTTGATTTGAAGACATTTCGTGCCATTTGCCCTGGACACCAAAATTCCTAGCTATTGCTCTAGAAATCACAGATTTTTTGAAAGATGGATTGTTTTAGACATAGATGGGGAAATTAGGTGAAGTGGCTAGAGCAAAGTGATATAGTGAGTAAATGGCAGACTCAGAAATTAACACCAGGTTGTCTGACTGTAAGATAAGTACCATATCTACTCTAAGACATAACATATTAGAGGATCACTCAAAATGGTGGAGAATCACATCCTAAATCCTATATTTGAGACTTTACTTGTCCTTTGTGGTCTTTAACCTTGAACAGAGAACCCTATCCACTTTCAGAAAATAGTCATCTCCCTTTTCTTTGCTTTGCTTTTTTGAATTCCAGCTTTTTTTTCTTCCAAAATGACCTCAGAAGCCTTTCTGAACTTGGAGTTTTCTTCTTTGAAAATGGGCTGAGGCTCTTACAGTGGAGGGGAAACAGGGGAAGTGAATCTTATTCTCATAGGATTTGGGTATGGAAATTGGGTATGGAAATCTGTCTTACCCTACAGGAAAATAGGGGGAGAAGGGAACAAGAGAGCAGGGGGATGACAGAGAGGAGGGCAGATTGGGAAAGGGGGTAATCAGAAGTAAATACTTCTGAGGAGGGACAGGGTCAAAAGAAAGAATAGAATAAATGGGAGGGCAGGATAGGATTAAGGGAAATAGAGTTAGTTTTTCACAACATGTCTACTATGGAAGCATTTTGCATAACTGCACATGTACAGCCTATATGGAGTTGTTTGCCTTTTCAATGAGGATGGTTGGGGAGGGAGGAAGAGAGAAAATCTGAAACCTAAAGTTTTAAAAACATATGTTTAAAAAAATGTTTTCACATGCTACTGGGAAATAAGAAATACAGCAAATGGGGTACAGAAGTCTATCCTGCCCTACAGGAAAATAGAAGGGGAAGGGGATAAGAGAAGGGGTGGGGGAAGAGATAGAAGAGAGGACAGCCTAGGGGAAGGGATATTCAGAATGCATGCCATCTTGGGGTGGGGGGAGGGGTGAGATGGGGTGAAAATTTGGAACTCAAAAACTTGTGGAAGTGAATGTTGAAAACTAAAAATAAATAAATTTATATTTAAAAAAATTTTTTTAATGGGCTGAGAAATTACATGATTGTTTCCTTCCTCAACAAGGGATTGCCAAACCATTCACTGACACCAGTGAAAGGGAGCTACCATCCCTCTGGTCCATAGTCCAAAACAATGAATCTGGGGAGGGCATCTGCCTCTGTGGTTCCTTTTGTTCTTCTAAAAGAGGCCACGAGGGCATAAGATGTTGATGTGATTCTCTGAAACCTCTCACTGCAAAGATGAGGAACCTGAGATTCAGAAAAGTGGTGACCTTCTCAAAGTCGTCAACAATAATCAAAACTAATTAGTCTCCTCACTAATAACAACTCCCCTTTATATAGCACTTTCCTGACAACAACCCCTATCTTATAGGTGGGGGAACTGAGCTCCCGAAAAGCGACGCCACCCGACCAAAGTCATCAACCCAGTTGACTATTTCTGTAAATAACAATAAACCTTTCTGTAGCGGTTTACAAAGCACTTTTCTCAAAACAATCCTGTGAGGCAGGTAATACAATGAGTATTTCTCCATTTTGTGGATGGAGAAACCGGGGGCCAGAGAAGAAGTGCCTTACTGAAGACCACATAGTTCTGAGTGGCAGAAATAGAATTTTAATGCAGGTCTTCTGACTCCAAGCCTAGTGCTCCACATTGAATCATACTGGATCTCTGAGTGAGTGACAGCCAGGACTAGACCCCAGGTCAGCTGTCTCCCAGCCCCATGCTTTCACTTGGGAGGATGGGGAGGGAAAAACCATAAGAGCGAGAAATCATAGCCTAAGATTCCCTGGAAATGGCTGATGAGCCATTGAACGACACAGGACCATGCATCTATCCATCTGTAACTGCCAACCCTGAGGCATGGCTGATCTGCCACTGAGTGTCCAGGGATGACTTCTCTGCCCAAGAAATGGAGGAAGTCTTCCTTGGGTCCTCATGGCCTAAGTATAGCTTCCCATCTTCCAGTATGTCCTCACCTTGAACATCTCTGTGACGGATCATGTAGAGCAGCGCCCAGCGCAGGGTGGAGGCTGTGGTTTCGGTGCCCCCAAGGAACAGGTCAATGATTACTTGGATCAAATTCTCTTCATTGAATGTTGACATAGGGTCATCCTTTCTCTGTGAGAAATGAACACCAGGCAGGATTATGGAGTGGATACTCCTGGCTCTTGGCCCTCTCTTGTTCTAAGTGCCCACTGGCAGGTGCCAACTTCCATGGACAACCAGAATCCTCAGGAAGTTCTCAGTTCCATCATCCTTGGAGCCTGATGCTTATACTGCTAGCCCAAATCTATAGGGCTTCTGCTCTAGCCCAAGACAGAGAAAAGTCAAAGGAAGAGAAGGAGTAACGTGGCCCCTCTGAGGAGTCTGAGGAGCTCTGAAAGCTCTCTTAAGGAACTGAGAATCATTGTATCAGAGTAACATCTAGGGAAAGCAGGCTCACTATGAGTGTCCAAGAATAAGCCGAATCTCGAAGGTGGCCCAGAATTCCTGCCGTATCTCTTACCTTAGTGATCTGAGCCAAGTAGCAGCTGATGAAGTCCTCTGCGTCCTCAGGTGCCCTTTGCTTGTGGCTCTGGATCTCCTGGCAGATGAGACCCTTCACGATCTCCTGATACCGAAAGACCTTGTGGTGAGGTCCAGGGAGATGGCACAGTAGCCATGGAAAGACATCATACAGCTGGATAAAAACACCCACATGTAACACAAGAGCTTGTGAGAGCCATTAGACTCAACTTATTAGAACCCACCTGGAGAAGCTTAGAGTTTCTAGAAGCTCATGAGAACAAATCAAAATGACAAACAGTGAGTCTGCAGTGGAAAGGAGTAGAGGAAAGACTGAAAGAAAACAGGGACCTTCCTATCGAAGTAGCAGGATATCTATTTCCTGGACTCTGAATTAGAATGCTAGTTCTATTACTACCTAGCCATTCACTAATCTTAGGCAAGACACTTAATTTTACTGAGCCTCAGTGTCCTGATCTGTTAAATGGGCTTAAGTATACCTGCCCAACCTACCTTGCAGGATTGTTGTGAGGCAGACACTTTGTAAACAAGAAAGTACTTATACAAGTGTGACCTGACATTGTCATCAGAGATGAGATGTGGCTGTGTTTTCCTGCCCCAGATGACAAGTCCAGAGGATGCTTACCTGGGCAATGAAGTGCCTAGAAGTCTTTTGGACCCGGCATGATGGAAACATTTGAGGAGGGTAAAGGGAGAGGCCACAATGGCAATCATGATTAAGTCTTCAGATAAGACTTTGATGTTGTGACATGAGAATCTTTGAGCATGAGGTGCCTGAGCTAAGATTCCTCTTGACCCGAAGTCCAGTGTTCTGTCTACTTGTTGGTAGAATTTTGTGTAAATGTTGTTCGGGGGGAAGCAGTCATGCTGGCTAGTGACCAGGGAATTGGCTTTTGTTCTGAGCCACTCACACACTCCTAGATTGGCTCTACTTCACAGGGTAGAAGGATAGTTCCATACTACCCCTCTCAGACATTGGAGAGGAGAGTGCCCAGCCCAAGGCTCTCTTGGAGCTGCCTCCCCTTTTCTGTCAGCTGGCATGCTATGCTGGTGGTGGCGCGGGCATTGCCCTGTGCTAAACCTCCTCTCCTTAGAGGTGGCCCAGGCCTTGGAGTGCATCTCTCCAGGCCTCCTGTGAGCCATGAACCTATACAGCATGCATATTCTGCTTACATTGGCTGGAGGCTGGAGTACTTGACCTTTGAGATCCTTCCCAAGGCTGGGATTTGAAGATTTATGATTTTAACAATAAGAACCTCCCTTCCAATACAAATAGGAACCAGGAGATGGCTCTACTAGGAAAAACAAACTCCTGGGAAAAAGGACTTTTCTAATCTTTTTCTCTCTGCCACAGCTGTTTAGTCAGATGCTTTTTGTGTCTATTTCCATTGGGCCTCAATAGATACTCACTGGCTGGGGAGACAGACTTCACAGGTTGCTTCCTGTAGGTCATTACCCAAGAAGCATCAAGCTCATTGAATGACTGACAGCGTGACCCTACCCCCAGCTTACCCGGCGCCAGGTGGTATTGACAAAGGCCAGCCCAAAGTCAATTGCGTTCATCAGCTCTTGGAAGAAGGGATCCCCATGGGAGAAGCGATGCCCAAATACCAGAGCACAGATCACGTTGGCTGCTGCCCTGACGATGGGAGCATGGGGGTCAAAGGATTTGCCTTTGAGAGAGAAAGAAGGGGTCAGGATAAAAGCCAGCGGCAGTAGAGGGTCTAGCTCCACCTGCATAGTATCCCAGGCTGATCGGAAAAGAGATAATGATGTCTTTATCTGTCCTTTCCTCTCTCCTTCCCTTCCTTCTGTTCTCCTCTTCCTTCCCTTTCTTTTCTCCCTCTTCCTCTTTCCTTCTCTTTTCTCTTCCCCATTTCTCTTCTCCCTTTCTTTTTCCTTCTCCTCTCCTTCCATTGCCTCTGTTCTCTTCTTCCTTCCCTTTCTTTTCTCTCTCTTCCTCTTTCCCTCCCTTTCTTCTTCCCCTTTCTCTTCTCCCTTCCTTTTTTTTTTTTAGGCAATTGGGGTTAAGTGACTTGCCCAGGGTCACACAGCTAGTACATGTCAAGTGTTTGGTCTGAGGCCAGATTTGAACTCCTGATATCAGGGCCAGTGCTCTATCCACTGCGCCACCTAGCTGCCCCCTCCCTTCCTTTCTTTTTCCTTCTCCTCTCCTTCCCTTCCCTCTGTTCTCCTCTTCCTTCCCTTTCTTTTCTTTCTCTTCCTCTTTCCCTCCCTTTCTTCTCCTTTCTTTTCTCCCTTCCTTCCTTTTTCTTTTTCCTCTGCCTGCCTTCCCTTCTCCCCTTGGCCTGGCTCAACCTTGATTTGTAGCTACAATTGCTGTTACTCCTAACTCACCAACTCATCACCTCCCCCTCCCACACACCTGAGCTGCATGGTGGGTTCAAATTCTGTCACCAGCACTTACAAGATGTGTGGCTGCGGATAAGTGGCTTTGCCTCTTTGGATCTCAAGTTCCTCATCTTTAAAATCATAGAAAGGGATCGTGGCATGGATAGAGAACTGGCCTTGGAGTCAGGAACACTTGGAGGTCAAGGACCAACTGTACCACATAGTGGCTGTGTGACCCTGGAAAAGTCATTTAACCTCTTTGTGACTCTCCAAGAGGATAAGTGAGGGGTTTCCTCAGGAAGTCCCTGCTTTATAATGTTGAAATCCTGGTCTGGTGAGAAAATCAAACTATTCAATTCCCAGGGCTGTAGCGGGATCCAGAGGGAGGTCTGTAAAAACTGCTTCGCAAACCTGAAGTTGCTACATGTCAGCCACTAGCATTGCTGCCCTCTTCTGCCTCACCTTTCCATTCCCTACCATTCTCTCTGCGAAAGAGCTCCACCAGGTGCTGCGCCTCTTCCTGCAGCCGCCGCTCCAGGGCTCTCTTGCCCATTCCCAGGCTGTGTAGGGTGGTCAGGTCTGCTGTAACCAGGTGTGACCACTGGTGGAGATGATCCCTGATCCCAATGGAGAAGGGAAGTTTCAGTGAAAATGTGCTATCTCTGCTTTGCCAGGCTGGTGCCTATGCCCCCACGTCTCCAGCAAAGGTGCCATAGGGTAGAAGAGCTCATCCAGCCAAAGGATGGTCCTTTTGATGCTGTTGCTGGACCCATTGTCCAGCAGGGACAAGAAGTACAAAATGTGTGTAACAGAGGACAGAGGCCGGAAGTACAGTGGTCAACAGGGATCCTCATTCTACCACAGCCACCTTTCGGCCATTTACTCTGCCTTCCTGGTCCCTCTCACCAAAGACCGCAGGCTGGGTGACTGACTTAACCCTCTCAGATCTGAAACTGCTTCCTTGGGCCCCACGCTGCCCTAAAGAACACATGCATCGCATGGCCCACCTCATCGGGCACATTCTAACCAAGCTTGACATTCCGCCCTGGCGGCCATCTTGCCATTTCCCCTGCCATCACACATGTATCCTCTTCCCAGTCCCAACAAGGTCTAAAACTATAAGCAAATCAGTACTTTCAGTGCTACTGATGAGTGTGTGTCAACCTACTACCCTGTGGTTGTGCCCACCATCCTGATTATTTCTCAAACCAAACCTTCCTTCCCTGGCCACCAATCCCTTCCTCTCATGTGCTATTTGCCCCTATTGAGGGGGAAACTCATGTGCTATTTGCCCCTTCCTGAGGGGCTATGTTGCTTTTCTTTTTGGATCCTGGCACTTGGCCCATTGCTTGGCACAAAGGGAGCATGTCGGAGCTGCTTTTTTATTCATTTCATCCATTCATTAAGAAGCTCCTCCTGGGTTCAGCAGCAGTTCACTGTAAGATCTAGAAAACCTCCTGGGTCTTTCCCCTTCTGTTTTCCTCTGTAAGTTTCTCCATCCACCCCTCCCAGAATGGAGCTAGAGAAAAGGCATACGTAGAGTCTGAAGAAGGTTCACCAAGTGAGTTTCCCTGGCAACTTGTGTAGGTAACAAGCCCCAGGCATAGCCCCACTTTCTTGTCACCCACAATCCCCCAAAGCCTTCTCCTCAGGTCTTCCCAGTGACTTCTCCACAATGCCACTGCTGGATATAGGGAGATCTTAGCTTTGTCACCAAACAGGTCCTCAAAGAGGGGAGTAGTTGGCCGATCAGCAAAGTTCTCTGAATGAGTGACCAAGGCATCCTTCACAGCCCGGAAACCATTCAGTACAACCACTGGCGTTGACCCCAACCACACAGTGAACACATTGCCATGTTTCCTGGCCAGCTGCAGAGGGAAGAGGTGACTCTGTGGTTTGATGGAATCAGATGAGCTGGGTTTCAAACCTAGCTCTGCTACTTAGCTCATGACCTTTCCTCTCCTATAAAGTGAGCAGATTGGAGTCTGCAGGGCTTGGCTGTGTGAAATGAGAAAGTTGATTTGGCTTCTTCTCTTTGTCAAGTGATAAGGAGTGTATCTTAAGCAGGAAGTCACGTCCCCAGAAGACCCCGGTCATGGGCCCAATGCCAGCTTTGCCCTGGGTTAGGCAAGCTCCTGAGAGCATCTCCAACCTGGGAGAGGACCTTCACGGCTAGCTTAGTGGAATCTCCTCTAGGGGTCTGGGTCTCCAGGACACACAGCAGGAAGGGCAGTACAATGAAAAGAGGATGATCATCTGTGGGTTCAAATCCTGCTTCTAATGCTTCGCACCCAGGGGACTTTGGGCAGGTCATATAGCCTCCCTGGGCCTCAGTTTCCTCGTCTGTAAAGTGAGGGGGATGGGAGCTCCCTTCCAGCTCTAAAACTCTGATCCTTGACTACAGACAAGTGGTCATCCAGCTTTTGCTTGGGCATTTCTAATTATTGGGAAAATTTCCCTCGTATCAAACCAATATTTTACTTTACAGCTCCCAACCATTGCTCTTGTTTCCCCCTTTGGAAGCTAAAAGCAATCCCTCTCATCCCTCTTCTGTGTGAAGGATGGCCCTTCTAGTCCTAGGGGACAGCCCCCAGGCCTCCACTTCTCCAAGGCCAACACCATCCAGAATCCTCACCAGCAGGAGAATGGGCTAGCAAGCTGCAGGAGAGGCACAATTGGGGTGAACAAGAACGAGAAAGGACCAAAGACTGAGGGAGGGTTGCGACCAGGCCATTAGTGGCAGGGCATTAGCAGGGGGAGGGGAATCAGCCTCTGAGAGGCAACCCATAGCTGTTTGGGTATTGCAGACAGCTGATGGCCAATTATTTTAGCAGATTCTTCCACGTAATTAGTATTCCCATCAGTATCTCATGCATCCGCTGAAGTTCAGAAGTCCGGGCAGAAGCCAATAAGCACCATCTCGTGTTACTCCCTCCCAGCCTGGAACTCCAAGGATGAGAGCTGGGAGAAGGGCGAGCCCTTCCCTTGGGTTCTCCTTCTCTGCTGCCCTCCTTTCCCCTTCCCTGGAAAGTTGGCTCCCTCCCACTGTCCTGCTGTGACTGAGGGGGTGGGGAGGGAGGAAGGCAAACCAACCCTGGACATTCTGATGCCCTGCAAAGTCACCAAGGAAGCCCTACCTTGCCGAGCTTCTCTGGGTGAAGCTGGAAATTCAACTGCAGCAGATTTCCAAGGATGGGGAGTGGGCACGGGCCAGGAGGGAACTGGTTCCTAGCCAGAGGAAGGTGAGCGTTCTCAGGAGCAGGAGGGAGGTGGCCAGCATGGCCAAAGCACTGAGCAGTGAGAACATGTGGCTTCTGTGGCTCTGGCTTGGCTTGCCATAAGACTTCCCTCCACTCTCTCTCTGTCTCTCTCTCTCTCTTTTTTTTTCTCTCTCTCTCTTGCTCACCTCCGCTCTCTCACCTCCCTTCTGCTCTTCCCTTCTACTCTCCTTTTCTTCATCAGCTTGTTTGTCTCCCCTGTCTTCCACTCTCTCTATCCTCCTCTTTCCTCAGTTGTGTTCTCTCCTCTCTCTCCTCTCTCTTCTCTTCTACTCTCATCATTCAGTTCATACTCCTCTCTCTTTTTCTATGCCCTATTTTTATTCTCCTCTTCTTTCTCTTTATTTATCTTCTGCCTTCTCCTCTATATTCTAATACATCTATGTTCTTTTCCTCTTTCCTATTGACTTCCCTGTTTTCCTCTCTTCTTCTCTCTTCTCTTCTCCCTCACTCTATTTGATCCTATTCACCTCCTTTTCCCTTCTCTTCATCTCTGTTCTTTCCTATTCTGTTCTAATCTAGAATGTTTTCCCTTTTCTGTTTTTGTCTTTCCTTTCTCTTTCTCTTCTTCCTTTTCTGTCTCCTATGGAGCCACGCTAAGCTTCCCTTCCTCTCTCTGCTCCTTTTATGTCAAGAGCGCTGTGTAGGTTCCAATGAGGAAAAGCCTCAGGAGTTTCTCCTTGGTGGAGTGGAGTAATTTCCACTTGGTCACAGTAGCTGGGTCCACACCCTTGCCCCTCAGCAGGAGCTTAGCCTGGAACAGGCAGAGATGGCCTCACCCTGAATGAGGAGTACTACTCCCCCACTCCCCCAACCCTTCAGAGAGCCAGCATTGTCTCTGAATCACCTCTGACAATCAAAAGCTTGATGGGCCAAGAAACTGACTTCCAGGCCCCTTCCCCACTTTTCTTGACCTTTGACAGTCAACTGTTGATGTAGCCACAGCCAGCAGCCACATCCAGAAAGAAGCCCAGTTCCGTGGAAGGAGAATAAATCCTCTCTCTAGCCTCAGGAAGTAACAGCCTCTTAATGGGTGTCCCTACCTCTAGTCCCTCTCCCCAGGCCATCCTTTTTACCACTCCCAGACAAGGGGCTGAGGACCTGGCAAATGGCCTCATGGGACCAGTAAAGTCAAAGTCATGGATCACCCTAGGAGCCAATCCTCTTCACCGGGCTCCCCAGTCTAGTCCCAGAGTAGCCCTGGTTATAAGGTGGACCATGGGAGGGCTCATCAATTGGCTCAATCTAAATGCTAGGCAGGAGAATCAGTTCCAAGGTATATTGGATGGCTTATTTCCAATCCTCATGTTTCTTGGCCTGTCTACATGTAACACCATTAACCACTCCCCTTCTCCTGGAAGCTTTCTGAGTTTTCGTGGTGTTGTTCTCTCCTGGGTCTTCTCCTACACGTCTGGCTTCTCTTTCTTTTTCTCTTTTGATGGATGCCTGGAACATTAGTAGGTGCTAGATAAATACTTCTTGAACGGTCCTCGCTCATGGCTCACCCCATATGCTTTTGTGTACAGCAGAGCTCTGCTCCAGGTCCTCTTCTCTACTCTTTCTCTCCAGTTTCTCTTGGGGATCTCATTGGCTCCATTCAGTTCAGTTATCATCTCTATGCAGATGGCTCAGAAATCTACATAGCCAATCTCCACTGCTCTCTCGAGCTTCAGTTCAGCTGGACATTTCCATCTGGAGAGCCCATGAGCATCTCAAACTCATTATGTATGAAATGGAACTCATTATCTTCTCCACAAAATCAACCCCTCTTCCTAACGTTCCTCATCTGTTGAAGGCATCACCATCTTTCCAGGCACCAGGTTTGCAATCTCAGGAAGATCCTTACTCTACCTTCTCCCTCATTCCCATATCCAATCAGTTGAAAGTTAACCACTATATAGCCATTATCCTAATTCTAGTCAATAGGAGGGAGCTGGAGCTCTCGTGGTCCCCCAGTGCCCCAAGGGACTGTGTGCATCTATACCGTTGTGTGGATGTGAAGAAGTTTCTAGAGTTCTGGGCGGGGAGGGGATATTCCCTCCATTCCTCAGAGGCATCTCTGCCTGTACTGGACTGTTTTCTAGGTGGTGCCTAGATGATTATAGATTCATCCAATGGGAAATCAGTTCTTAAGCCCTGGCTTACTCTACTTTTTTCCCATTTGGGGGGGGGGCGCGGTGTGAGGCAATAGGGGTTAAGTAACTTGCCGAGGGTCACACAGCTAGCAAGTGTCAAGTGTCTGAGGCCGGTTTTGAACTCAGGTCCTCCTGACTCCAGGGCCAGTGTTCTATGCACTGCACCATCAAGGACCCTTACAGTACTTCTTAAACTCCTTAAACTCTGCTTCCTTGAACTTGCCACTTTCCGAGCCTTCAGCTTGGCATGATGGAATTGAGGTCCATGGGAAGGGACAGATAGGCTTGGGTATCACATCCAGCTCTCCTGCTTTTGGCACAGAAACAGTAACAACAAAGAACATCACGAGTCAGACGAGCAGGTGCACACCCGCCATTGTTCTTGACCCCAGCAGTCCCCTAACTGGCCAGAAGCTACTTCAAACCCAGGCACTCTAGGGGCTTCCCACTACACTTATAATCCCCTGACTGCTTCTCCTGAAATCAGGCAAAGGATCATAAGCAATACAACCCGGTTTCCACTCGGTGACTAACTCATGTATCCAGCAAGGCCAGTCCTAGGATGAAGATGCTGGCACTGGGACTTGGGACCTCTCATAGCAAGGAGCGTGGATTCAGTGTCAGTTGGAGGAGAGAGGTTCCCACAGCTGGTGCTTTCTTCGTCTCCATGGATTAGTCACTGGCAGTAGCCAATCAATTCTTGCCTTGCTGGGTGTCTTGGAGCAGGACGAGCAGCCCCACTAGGCAGCCTGCTGGCCACCGTGCCATTGGGCACCTCTCTGACCTTGAGGACTGTCCTCCTGTCACGGAAAGCCATCACACCACTTCTTGTGGTCAGCATCCTCCCTTACTTCTTATGATATCTTATGATAATTATTATGATATTATGATAATTATCTTAGGATAATTTCCTTCATATTGTCAAAGTCTCTCCGCTCCCCACAGTGGGAAGAAAGACAGAGTGAAAGGGAGATTTCACATGTTAATTGATCTTAAGTCATATTCTCAGTTTCACTCTAATTTTCTAGATATGGACACTTTATGAAGATCTAGCGCAGTTGCAGATCTAGGAAAATAATTTACATAACAATTCCGTAATGCAAATGAGAAGAACAAAAAATGAACACTGAAGTTTGAATGACCAATGTTGGCTTCAGAAAACGGGAAATGGGGGCAGCTAGGTGGCGCAGTGGATAGAGCACTGGCCCTGAAGTCAGGAGGACCTGAGTTCAAATCCAGGCTCAGACCAAACACTTGACACTTACTAGCTATGTGACCCTGGGCAAGTTACTTAACCCCAATTGACTAAAAACTAAAAATATAAATAAAAAGAAAAAAAAAGAAAAGGGGAACTGCTTTCCACCCTTTCCCTAGAGATGTGGGGGACTCTGGATGCCAAATGGTGCACACGGTCAGTGAGGTTTGTTTATCTGCTTTGGGTGGAGGTGGATGGGAGGCATCTTTTTTTCCATGATCACATAAGTGTTTGATGATATTCTTTGTGATGCTTCTTACTCAGTTCTTGGTTGCAATGTGCTGAAGCTCTGCTCCCTTTGAGTGGCAACTTTAATTTTGGGAGCCTTTGAATTCTATGACTTGAAGCCTCATTGCATCACCAGAAGAATATTGTTTAAGAAATGGGTCACTTTTTTCAAGGAGAAGCTTGGGGTAATGAAAGTGCTGTAAAATTTCCCAAAAGCAGTCCAGCTGACCCTCCTCTTCCTCCTGTTTAACTCTGGACCAAGTTCGTCATTCACGAGCCGCACCTATCCAAAGTGTATGTGCCCGCTCTTGATGTCTTTTGAGTTGAATTATCATGTGTTACTTTGTTTTCTAGTTTTATGTGTAGGAGTGAAATCCCGCTAGCTTCATGGGGGACCAGCGAGGACTTAACCAAACTTCATTCCACTCAGTGCCCCATACAGCACTTGGCACGGTAGGCACCTGATAAAAAAAAAAAAAGTAAAATTGAATTGAAATTGAATCCTTCTGTGTCAGACTTGCGTGTGATCATCCTTGGTTCTTCCATTCCCATTGTCTCATCACCACCCATGATGAGACTTGAACGATTCAGGAAATTAGACTAGAGTAGATATCGTCCCTGTTCTTGAGGAGCTGTAGAGGGGAGTTATGGACACATGAATATGACCTGAGCACATTGCTGGATACAATAAGAAAACTGAGAAGCAGACAATGAAAAGACGCCATTGGATTCAGCAAAGTAAGAGACAATTGTTAGCTCTAGAGAGATCAATTGCAGTTAAGGGGTGAGGTTGAAAACCAGATTGCAAAAGGTCAAGTGAGTAAGAAAGAAGAAAAAGAAGACTTTTTCATGGGTGTTGAAAATGAGCTCTCATCTAGTCCCAACCTGCTCAGCCCCTCCTTCTTTCCTTCCCTTCTTCCCTCACCCTAGGGTCAAAACCATCCAACTGGATGCAACAGGGCCCTGCCGGTTTCCAGGAGGACCTTTCTCCTGACCTGGAGACACACCTCGGTGATGAGGCCAGACCGGGGCCAGGTTTCTGAGACAATAATTTCCCAAGGAACACAGGCATGTGTTTGGAATTCAAAAGTCCTTTAGAGACTCAAAATTTAGGTGTCAGGACAAATAGCCCTTTCCCCACCTTTTGACTTTTGGCAAAAGCTTTTAATAAATGTTTGTTCGCTGCTTGACTGATCGACGAAGTCCACCAGTCTATAGCTACATAGAACTCTCAACTGGGTGGCTAGATGACACAACGGATAGAGCGTTGGCTGGGAATCAGGAAGACTCATCCTCGTAAGTTCAAATCTGGCCTCAGACACTTAGTAGCTGTGTGACCCTGGCCAAGTCACTCAACCCTGTTTGCCTCAGTTCCTCGTCTGTAAAATGAGCTGAAGAAGAAAATGGCAAACCATTCCAGTGTCTCTGCCAAGAAAACCCCAAATGGGGTCACAGAGAGTCAGGCATGAATAAGACAGCTGAACCACAAGAATTCTCAACTGCTGTTGAAGCTGGAAGGAATCTTAGAGATCAGCTCAGATGATCTCTAGATGAAGAACCCAAGTCCTTCACTTTATGAATGGAGTTCCTTGCATAAATTAACAGCACGGAGGGTAGAACATGCTTTCAGACCCAGGTCAAGCCCTGTTTTCCCTATTTCTTCTCCTTCAAAATAAGACTTAAACAGGACAGCTTTGTGGTGCAGTGGATAGAACACTGGGCCTGAACTTAGTGAGACCCTGGGTAAATCACAACTTGTTTGCCTCACTGTCCTCATCTGTAAAATGGGTGTAATAACAGCACCTACCTTCTAAGGTTTCTATATTTGTAGAACACTTTGCAAACCTCAAAGTGTTATAGACATGCTCATTGTTGTTGTTGTTATTATTATTATTATTATAAATATGCCCTCCTCACAATGTATAAGACCAAAGAGATGGACTTAGGTTGTGCCTACCCTCCTGCTTCCTACCATGGTCCCTAGGCCAGTGAGAGTTCAGCCCTCCTGCACTAAGGTTAAGCATCAGCCTGGAGTCCTCTAGAGCAGAGATGCTCCAACGTGGGGCCGCTGGAATCAGGGTCCCCTCCAGGGCACTTCCCTAATTCCCCAGGCCAGCTGCCAAGTCAACGAAAGCCCAAACCCTGGTGATGCTACTAGGTCAATACCACGGAGGCAAAGCCAAGTGGGGCAGAGCCTGGCAGGGATTGCAGATTTTGTAAGATTTAGTAACTTGAAGGCCTTGGCAATTAAGAAACTTTATCAATCAAGCCTGTCAATTAAAAGTTTCATTAATCCTCTGTTCATAGGATCAGAGGACCTAGGACTGGAAATGTCCAAGTCCAACCTTCTTGTTTTACAGATGAGGAAACTGAGGCCCATGAAGTCCTGGCCATAGATAGGAAGGGGCAGAATTCAGCTCCTTCATCTCCAAACCTGGAATTTTCTGCCGTGATTGAACTGTCTTCCCCTAAGATCCTCTCTCAACGTTTCCCCGTTGGATGAAGGACCTTCTAGGTTCTTAGAAAGTTGCCTATGGAGCACACGTCTGGCAAGTCTACCAAGCTGGAAAGGCTTCCAGGCCAAACTCAGGAACAGACAAAGATGAGCCTTCCCACCCTGGAGGAGCTCCACTCTGAGGCCCACTCTCCAGCTTGGGGAGGCCTGGCCCTGCCTGCCATTTCACAAGGAGCCCAGCCATGCTTGCTTAACGCCTGCTCCAACTTCCTTTGTTCAGATTTGTTCCCTTTTGCCCCTCTGTTCTCCCACTCTCCCCACCCCTCACTGAGCAAATTTTTTTTGGAAAAAGAAAAGCTTCAACACAGCTGCATAATCCAGCAAAACAAAAGTCCACAGGGCCATGTCTCAAAACTCCCCTGTCTGTCTGCATGTGAAGTTTATCACCTCTCTGTCAGGAGGGTGAACGGCAGGTTTCATCTGCATTCTTTTGGCCTCATGGTTTATCACTGCAGGGAGCAGGGTTCTAAAGTCTTTCAAAGCTGTTTTTCTCTCTAGTATTTCATTATCTACATTGTTTTCCTGGTTTTCCTTATTTTGCTCTGCATCAGTTCATAGAGCTCTTCCCCATTTCCTGTGAAACTGTCCACTTTGTCATTTCTTGTGATGCTACAATAGCCCATTACATTCATACACCACAATTCGTTTAAGTGTTCCCCAATGACACCCCCTCGTTTCCAATTTTTGGCTACCATGAAAAGAGATGCTATAAATATCTTTGTAAAATAGGTCTTTTCCTCTTTCTTGGCTTCTATTTTTTTATTTTTATTTATTTAATTTTTAATTTGTGGAATAAAACAAACATTTCCATGATACAGTATGATAAAAAAGATAATTGCACATGAAACTACAAATCTATTATATAGAACTTCTTATTCCTTTTAAATCTATAATAAAGTGATTCTTTTGGAATAAGCCCAATAGTAATATAACTGGGGCAAAAGTAGTAGTAATACTAAGAGTTAGGATCTAGACAGCACTTTAAGGTTTGCAAACATAATTTCATTATATTTCCTCCACAACCCTGGGAGGTAGATGCTATTACTATCCCCTTTTATCAATGAAGAAACTGAAGCAGACAGGGGTTAAATGACTTATGCAGGGTCACACAGTAAGCAAATGTCTGAAGCCAGATTTGAATTCAGGTCCAGCCTTAATATAGGTCAGAGTACCTGCTGTGTCACAGCCATACGCGTACCTCTGTAACTTTTTGGTCCTAGTTACAAATTGCTTTCTAGGATGAATTCAGCTCACTTGGCAGACTCCTTATCCTTGCCAGAAGGCTTGGCCCCAGGAGGGTGCTTTCTCCTCCCTCTCATGGTTCCCGCTTCCCAGATCCCCTCTAGGTATCGCCTTCCCCCATTGTAAGGCCCTCAAGGGTTAGCGCTGTCTCATTGGCCTGGGTTTGTGTCTCCAACACAACCGTTGCTTGGCACATAGTAAGTTCTTAAATGTTCTAGCTAGCAGTCGACCTACTTGATACATGAGTCAAACAGCACTGGGGCACTGTGTTGTATCATCTCCCTTGCCTATCACAGAAGCAAAGACCACGAGAAATGAAACAAATTCAGACTGTGTCTTCCCTAGAGCTCCTGGCTGGCAGTTGGCCTTCCCACTCAAAGAGGACCAAAACAACATCGCTATGTTGGAGTCAAGGTGCAGTGTGTCTGGCTATGGCTGCTCAGACCAGTATGAGCCTGGAAGGCTCTACCACAGGCAGGCACAATGGTCCATGTGAACATCTGGAGTGCAGATAGCTCTAAATCTGTACATCTCATGTTTCTTTTGAGCTCCTGCAATTCTGCTTCACTCGGAGCACGGCACCTTCTTTGATGTGGGCGTG